AGTGGAGAAGCTGGCCATTGCCAGGACTCCAAAGGCATATTTACAAAAGATCTCGAGGCCACTGCCGTTTCAACCTTCGAGGGGGATGGTATGGAAGCTCGGAGCTGGATAGGGATTGCGCTAGAGGATTGGGATGATGAATGAGGTTCTGGTGAAAGTTGGAGAATCTGGATGGGATGATGTCATGGACATATGGGATGTTAAGGTCATGGTGTAGGGTCTTGTTCGTGACATAATATGGAGCATTGACTATTGTTCGAAGGACTTTGGACTGCGTTTGATATTCGATGATTTAGTTGTCCCCCACAGTTCAAGTCCATAGGTCCAGATAGGTTTCAGTATGGTCTTGTAGATTAATAATTTGTTTTCTGTTGAGAGATGAGATGTTCTGTTTAGTATTCTATATAGCTGAACAAATCGTCGGTTAAGCTCTTGTCTTTTAAGTCTCGTATGTGGGTTCCAAGTCAGTCTTTTGTCCAGAAGGAAGCCAAGGTATCGGACTGTGTCTGAGTAGGGAAGAGGAATTGAATTAAAAAGGATTGGCGGACAGGATCTGCGTCGAAGAGTGAAAGTTACATGTTTGCATTTTGATTCATTAATTTTGATGCGCCAGTTGTTGCACCACTGCTCAATGATGGAGAGAGAGGTGTCTTTGCAGGTTCCGGGACGCTATTAGAGGATCCGAGTAGGAGGATAGGATGGCAGTATCATCAGCAAATGTTGGTAGGAAGGTACGTTGAAAAGGATGTAGAGAACTGGGCCCAAGACACTGCCTTGTGGAACACCAGCCTCAATTGGATAATCTTTGGAGAGTTCAGTGCCGCAGCGGACTTGAAAGGAGCGATTTGAAAGGTAAGATTTGAGGACTAGGTACAAGGGTTGAGGTAAATGGGTTTTGAGCTTGAGAAGCAAGCCATCGTGTCACACCCGATGGAGCTACGTCCAGAAAGGCACCAGTGCAATATTGCTTGTTTTCAAGTGCAGAGGATATGTGGTCCACAACGCGAAGGCCTTGTTTGACAGTGGAGTGTCTTGAGCGGAATCCAAACTGATGGGAAGGGATATTGTGGGATTCGAGTATGGGTAGGATACGTTTGAGAAGGATTTTCTCAAAGATTTTGGAAAGGATCGGAAGTAAGCTTATCGGTCTATAGGATGATGTATAATTAACAGGTTTACTTGGTTTAGGAAAGAGGATAATTATGGAGTGTTTCCACACCAGAGGAAAGTGGGTTGTGAGGAGGATACAGTTGAATAGGTATGTAAGGAATATAATTGCTTTTTTGGGAAGTTGTCTGAGGATCTGGGAAGTAAGGAGATTGTGTCCTGGAGATTTGCGAGGTTTTAGGTTCTTTAAAAGGAATTTGACCTCAGAGGGGTTGACGGCTGTAGGAGGTAAGGAGAGAAGAATCGATGAAGAGAGGAATTCTTTAACTTCAGCAGTATGGGAGGGATGGAGTTCAGGATGAGGAGTGAATGTGTACGATAGATGTTTAGCAAACTCTTCTGCTCTATTCTCACCTAACGAAGCCCAGGAACCATCATCACGGCGGAGGGGGTGGAAAATGGATTGGAATTTAAGGATTTTTTTTGTTATATTCCAGAGGGAGTTATCACTTGCAGATAGTGAGGAAAGATAGGAATTATAGGATTGGGATCTAAACGTGGCCAGTTTTTGTTTTACCTGCTTGGAATAATAGTTATATGATTTCCGATCATCAGGATGCCTGGTTCTTTGCCAGATGGTCCTAGAGCATCGTTTCCTATTAATAAGGTCCAGTAGGTCTTGGGGTAGAGGATTTATTTTGCGGTATTTTTTAGAAGGATCAGGTGAAGATGCAGTCCAAACTGCTTGTTGGATCAAGGTAGTCATGGAATATACTGCTTCATCTAGGTCTGCAGATGTTTTTAAGGAAACTCTGCGGTCAATATTATCATCCAGTATTTGATGGAAGAGGTTCCAATTAACTGCCCCCCTGATAAATGAAGGTGGAGGTGGTTTGGGAATTAGTGATGTGGAGACCGTTAGGATTAGGGGACTATGGTCTGAGGAAAGATCATCAAGTCTTGAAATGCTATAATTAAGGGACCCTAGACCTTTGTGGATGAAAAAATCTAGGAGATCGGGATTGCGGTTAGGATCTGTTGGCCAGTATGTGGGAGAATTGGGTGAGAGGATGTTGCTGCGATGGGAATTAAGTGCAGATAGCAATGTTCGTCCTCTGGAATTTGTGATTCTGGCTCCCCATTGCTGGTGTTTAGCATTTAAGTCTGCACCTAGTCAGGAAGTGGTGTCCTAAGGAGTTAAGGAAGGAAGTTAATTGGAATTCTGAGATAGGTATTTTAGGCGGGGAGTAAGCAACAACGCTAGTGTAGCAAAGGAGTGTGACCTAGTAGATGTCTTCGACCTGGGGCGTTCGGTCAAGGTCAACGAAGAATAGTGGGAGCGGTATTTTATTTTCTGAGCCAGGCTGTTCTCTATCTTCCTTGAATATATTCACTATTTGGCGAACACGGAACCCCATCTCAGTTAGTTCTTCTTTAATGGCATCCAGCGGTGTTGATGGGTGTAATCTCCTGATCACCACCCTGAGCGCTCTCTCTTGGCGCAGCTGATATGTATGGTAATCCGCCTTAGTGTCAGATAAATACTTGACAATTTTTCTGTACGTATGTGGGGTGTCAGGCATTAATTTCGTGTCATTAGTGCTGCTTTGGCATAAGTATTTACCGAAGCCCACTATATTATTTAATTGTAGACACATTATTTGAAAATTTTTTATGTTTCTAACGAATATTGGCGGGGTTTAGGTTCACTAGGGATGGGTACTGGTTCCATTTGTTCATTCTGTGGGTTTGACAACACTTGGAATGGATTAGCTGTAAAAAAAGGGCGATTCTTCTAACGCACCTTGTATTGATATAGCTTGTGTTGACATATTTTGTGATGATGTGCCAGGTTGAGTTTCAACTTCGTCAACTGAGCTCTCTGGTGTAGCTGGCGGGGTATTTTTTTTAGAGCGTCTAGCCCTTTTCTTGATAGGTGAACTCTTTGTGGTATCGAGACTCCTAGATCTTACAGTTCGATTGCTACCTTTGCTCGACATTACCATGTGAAAATATCGCATCTCATATTAATTTAATTAGAGGTAAATGTAATAATTTGCAAAAAATGTCTTTTATCAATTACGTATATATTACGCGAGTTTGTAGAATTCTGAGTAACGTAAACGTGCTTCCGCCGAAGGGCAGCAGCCCACTGGTCGGATTAGCGAATGTATATGGCCGGCTTGTTATCTATCACTATCCTCAGGTCTATTTACACTGTTCACAATGCCATAATAAATAAGTGATTACTCACCTTGTTTATGTCCAGTTTCAACTTAATTGTTAACTTAACAGTTCACACTACTTTTTCACATATAACATGAATTATTTCACTGATAATAAAGTCAGTTTATAAGAGACGAAATAAAGAGTGCATGTGTAGGGTTAACGCATGCGCAGAACTGACACAATTTTTGGATCATTAAATTATTAGTAATTGATTAATGTATTAGTATTTTAAAGATTCCTGAATTACCTGCAAAATTGAAAAAAAAAATTGTCGTAGTCCGACAATTATTACCAATTATTATATATAAGTCCGATAATTATTATCAATCATCGACAATTATCATGTATCAAAAGATATTATTGTTGCATTTTTTTTCTTCAGATTTTTTCTGTTCATATTTTTTCAGAGAGATTATGACAAATTTATAGTTGTCATATTACTATAGTACTATAGTACAATGTTGAAATGAAACAATTTGTGACGACCAAAGGAGTAATGTGGATTCTAATATTTTTTTGAAAAAAGGAACGATGGATTTTTATTTGCGAATAACAAAAAAAATACTTCACTGTTTTGTAATGTGAGTACATATAAAAGTAAATGTACGAATACATAAGAGTAGAAAAAAATGTCGGAAACATGCAAATTCATGTTTTCATAGAATTTTCAATAATGATTATGGTCGAATTTTAACCAGTGGTCGAACACTTGTTATAATTAGTTGTACTAAAGCCATTTTACTTTTTTCTACAAGCTGACGTTAACTTTGTTACACGCTTGGACCTATTCCATTATACAATACATATCAAAACGAAAATTCTGCGATTAACATTTCTTGCTTATGTTTTCTCATTAAACAGTACGAGCGATTTTTGTGGGTAAACATTTTTTGTAACAATAAGAAATTGTTAGCTGTGCAAGTCAATCTTTACACCTAAATTATTCTATAAACGTTCTTATATCTTTATAAACGTTATTTATATTTAATTAAATCTGTTTATATGTATTTAAATTAAACATTTTTAATTACATCAAACACAGTTACTACTTTAATTAAATTTATGTTAACAGGAGATCTATCACAGTAAGTCGAATTTATTCTAGGCGTACTCGGATCTTATTTTCCGCGGTACAGACTATTGTTGCCCAAAATCGGTCTTGGTCTTGCACTGTGCAAGACCAAGACCAAGGCTGCCTAACTGTTGCAAGATCAAGACCAGGACTGGTAAATAAAATCGATTTTTTAAATTAAAATTAAGACAAAATAGTTACTAATACTTGACGATCTTAGTTACTATATGTTAATAATTGGTATAACCAATATACTTTTGCATTTAACTCTTCTAATTTTTCATTCGGGCTTAGTTAGGTTTCTCCTATCTAAAAAATTACAGTAATATCTCTATAGTAATAAGCTAATAAGTAACTACAAGACTGTTGCGAGACTCTTGCGCAAGACTAAGACCATGACCAAGACTGAGTTTGCAAAACCAAGACTCGTCTCGGTCTCGCATTTGGGCAACACTAGTACAGACCAATTTTTATCAAATATTTATTATTATTTATTAAAATACATAAAAGTTTGCCTACCACCAATATATGGTGCTTTGTGAATTAATAATCTAAATAACTGCGAAGCAAGAAAAATATTTTCATTCCGTACCTTTATTGGTGAAAGGTTGCGCATCTCGGAACGGCAGATAACCAATTTTGCTGAGAGACATTTCGTAATTACCCTTCTGTATGCGAAGAATGTCCCAGGCCTTTTTCGGCGTGAGGCCTAAATAGAGCACGGCGAAGGTGGCTGCCAGGAGTCCGGCATTAGCTCGTTTCCTCGGGTCCATCCAAGTGTAGTGGATTATCATTTTCTGGCTCAACTCTTTTGAGTTCAATTTACTTGCAACCATCAAGCAGTATCTATAACAAATCGACTTGATAATTTATAACCTTACAATTATTCTGTAGTAATATCGTGTGAGGGCAGCTACTTAAAGTCAAGGTCTAAAAAGGGTATTTCAATTTAGAAGGTTACAATATGAATTAAGAAATATCATATTTTCACTTCCCTTCATATGAAATTAACTAATTCTACCCAAAGTGGTATTGTAAGTGAAGTGCATCGCACCAGATATTAAAAGTATAGTCTTGTTATGGAAAAAAAACCCTCGCTTAAGAGAAAGAAGAGGACGAAATTTGAAGAAATCGATATTAACCCTCACAATTCACCAAATCTTTAAATTTTATCAAATCAAATTACAGGTAGTAATCATCACATGCAGTTGACAACAGTAACAGACATACAACTTGAGATATAGCTAAAACTTATATAACTTCCCATAACCATATGTTTACTGCCAACCACACATTTCACAGCCAGTTTTTAAATAAGGGTATGTCTTTTTTTTTTTTTTTTCTCTTTTACCCCTACCTCGCCTTTTCGGCTATATGAACTTTTTCCGGGTATGACTCCGGGGGAATTAATCTCGAGTTAAAAGCCCTCCTTCCCACCCGCACGGGGATTGGAACTCGTAATCTTCAGTTTATCCTGCGTGTTTTACATACACATGTAAACGCGCTCGGTCACTCCCTACCTTTTACCTCTCAATATAGGTGTATCGTAGAAAACACGTTTGCGCATTCGTACGCCAAAGTATAAGATAGAATTTGATAAACTTAATAATTGATCATTTTCCCACCAACACTTAACATTACTCCAACGAGTCGTTTTTAAAAATATAGTTGACGGGTTTTGTTTTCTGCATGATACTACCTTATTGTGTATATTTTATTACTTTTTTGTCCATTTCAGTCTTTGCTCTTTATTGTTAACAACAAGAGCAGTTGTATAAACTCTGTAAAGGTGAATTTATATGTGAAAATTGTTCTATTGTAGAAGTTTTCGGTCATTTAATTTAACATTCAAAAAATAAGTCAAATGTTCTATTTCTGGAATTCTTTATGTCATCAAAAAGTTGTTAAAAATCAAGCAAAGTTACGGTTTGAAACTTCCGCAGGTCTTCAAGCAGTTCTGTTGCTGAACAACATTTAAAATTTTTGTGTTTGCACAACCGCTAAAACTCTCGTCGAGAATTACAAGGACCAATAACTCCTATATCATGATGCCTTAAAGAATGTGTTGCCTGAACAAAACCAGGTTTGCTGTCTCTATACAAGCGAAAGCGACTTAATTTTGATATAGGACACGAGAATCGGACGAAAGAAGAATGGAACAAATTTTTATTTAGAGATGAGTAAAAATCTGAAATATTTGGTTTCGGAAGGAGGCAGTATGTTTGAGATAATTTAGAGTGGAATTTTCGAATAAATGTTTGTAACCAACAAAAAACACGGTGGTGGCTTCTTAATGGTTCGGATTGTGTTTCTATATTTGGAGTTGGAGACATCTTGTGAATGGACGGAAAACTGGATGCAAAACGGTAGTATAGCATCCTTACATACCATGTAATACCATCCAGGATTAAGCTGATTATACAGAACTTTATTTTTTTTAGCAAAAATTAACATTAATAGAAAAAAAATTATGAAAGATGGAATGTTAAGTTAAATCACCGAAGAAAAAGCGAAGAAATCCTATATTAGAATAATTTCGACAGAGATCTTCAGCTTTATACATTGGCCCTAGTTGTTTTGTTAACAATAAAGAGTACTGACTGAAGTTTATAAAAAAGAACTGAAATATGAACGTAAGCCTCTGAAAATACCGTCAACACAACGGATTGCTTCCTTCGCTTCTTATTTATTTAAAATAATGTTAATTTAAATACATACATATTTAATGTATGTAAAAGTTAATTTAATTATACATATATATATATATACCATGTAAAATGTCTGCATAGTGGATTCAGTTTACAATTAAGAAGATAAAAAACACTTTTAAATTGAAACATTTATCATTGTTATAATCAATTTGGTTTGTTTGAAGACTTCTTCACACTACTGTAAATTCAATTTGAATTTTAAATTGACCTGTAACTTGAATTTGGCTGTAGTCGGATAGACATGCCTCAAACGTAAAACGTGAATGGAAATTTTCAATTCTGAGCATTAACATTTTTTAACCTCCCTCTCGACTCTTTCCTATTTTCGCTGGTGAGCAAACACAACTATGGAGTGAATATATATATATATTCACTGATAAGATAGAATATACTATAATATTTAGGTTTTCATTACCTGTAAATCAGTCCCAAGTTCAGCGGTCCAAAATCAACAAAGAATCCTTGGTACAGAAGAGAGTCATCTATACTAAACAAGTGCGCTTGAGGGGTATCCTGCCTCATAATATTTTTTTTAAATGTAACCAAACAGAATCGATTCATTAAAAATTCAGCAACGTGGACTATATCTGGATCTTGCTTAAAATTTCTGAAAAGACATTAATTAATTCAACTGTGATTAAAAAAAACTTGTAATTTATCTAGAGAATACCTGTTATTGAGATGATTAAAAAAAACTTGTAATATATCTAGAGAATAACTGTTATTGAGATGATTAAAAAAAAACTTGTAATATATCTAGAGAATAACTGTTATTGAGATGATTAAAAAAAACTTGTAATCTATCTAGAGAATAACTGTTATTGTAATGATTAAAAAAAACATTGGAGCCCTCTTTCCCATTGCGGTTAACGGTTGAATGTAATTAAATAAATTACAGTGTTTAGTTTGTTTTGATTTTTTGAAAGCTTTTATCGTTGATACAAATGCTATAACTATCGAATATGAAAAATAGCCATTTTTTAAATCCTGCATTCTAGCGATAATAATTGTAATTCCATAATTTTAAACAGCGAATACAAAATCTTCAAACATTCATAAAAAACATATTATTGTTTAATTAAAACATTCATGTTGTTTGGGCTGAATTGATAATGATGGTGATTGTATCGACGATGTTTATACTAGGAATCCGGTTTGGAGACAGGGATTATTGCTTTAATCTTTCGTTAGTGCTATGGAATTGATTGACAATATGTCAAACTGGGTCCATTTAAGTGTACGTAAAAAACTTATTATTGGTGAACTATCCGCTCAATAAAAAAAAACAGCTATGCGACATTTTGAAGAAAAATAATTTTCTAAACCTTTAGACCTTACCATAGAAAACAAGAAAACATTTCTCTATCTGGAGTTGCACAGGGAAACACACGGGTCAAGCAAGCACTATGTCAATTTATCGCTTGTACTCGCCATGATTTGGGCGTGTTAACGCGGCTAAACTGAAATTTATAATAGACAAAGTAATACAACTCGCCTACAATCATAATATGAACATATTTATTTTTATGGATTTGCTAATACTAACATGTAAGTAATTAACTTGTTTAGTGCTCCAGCAGAATCATAAAATTAAGGGGGCCATTCAAAATATTGATGGTGATGAATAGAACTGTTTCAAAAGTAGGTTGAACTAGAGATATTTTTAACAAATGATTTGGATAAATGATTCTCTGAGTACTGAGTACTTTACTCAAATACTGGCTTTTTTTTGAGAAGCACATAATTTAATTACAACTTCAGTTGATGTCAAACGATTAACTGATTTAGTGATTGAATTCTCAATAGTGATTGAATTCCTGATAGTGAGTCGATTTGAGTATAATACTTAGTACTCGGTACTCAGAGTAGTATTTGCCCATCTCTGGGTTGAATTCACAAATAAACACGTTAAAGAACCTGATAAAAAAAAAACATCAAATCCAACTCTAAATGGAAGTATTTTTTTTTACTATGGCGCTGATTTAAAAAATATATATATAGTTTTGGCGCAATTTTATTTTAAAATATGAAATGATTTAAGATAAAGACGCTGAGTAATCGGCTTAGATAAGATAAAATGATAATAACAAATATCATGTAAGCATCTAATTTAAAATTTTACGTTAATCTAAAATGAGTCGATAGTCTAAGTTATCATCGATTATTACATCAGTTACCTGTTAGTTGTTTGCGTAATTCTTCGCGCTACTGTTTTCATGTCGATAATTTTCGTATTGCAGAAGTTTCAACATGAGATAGGCTAGGTATAGGATTTCCAAAGGCTTCTATCGCTAAGGTTATTTTTGACTTTTAATGAGAATTTTTTTCATAGGCACCATATGGTAATCTGAAATCATCGGGATCAAAGAAAATATAAAAGGATTTCTATAGAATCCAGAACTCATTTAAATCTGAAATTCAAGAGCAATTTAAAATTCATTCATTCATTCGCAAGATCAGATATTCAACAATTAAGTTCTTCTATTTTAAACCCCCATAGAGAAACATAACTAAAATATTTAATAATAAACATATTTTTACCATTAAAATATATAATTATGTTTCTCCTTAATATATAGAACAAAAAATTCTAGCACATACATTGTATTAAAGTTTCAACGCAAAAAATATTTTTACTTATAAAATCAAATTAAAATCGATATAAGAGTTAATTAATTTTTTCTGCTAAAGAAAGGTTTTCTTTTATCTTTTGCTTGAATTATTCTTGTGATAAACAGTCAGGTAGGTCGTAATAGCGGGTGCCTACCTAAAGGCACTACCTTTCAGATTAAGAATTTGAGTTTATCGGGAAAATTTTGAGTTCCAAAAGTGAGAAAATTCCTAGCAGGTAAGTGAATGTCCGGAAATTTCAAAAATTTGAGCAAATTCAATATTTACCAAATATTGTACCAATATATATAGGTACCAAATACATAAATACATCTAAATCAGAGATGGACTTGAATTAATTACAACAAAAATTACTGTTAGTGTAATGTTAGATAGAAGCTCCTGAGCAAATATAATGAAAATATACCACTAATACAGAGAAGGCTACTATTCTCACGCGTGCTGTTTTAACTAAATTTTTTTTTAAAAAATCAAGAAATATAATATAAGAACATGATGTTGGTTTAAAAAAAATGGAAACTTACAAAATGATTGCCAAAAAACTGAAAGCAGTTGTAGTTATTGAGTTTCGAAGTTTTCAATGAATACCACCAACATAATAATTTCGATTTGTATTAGGCTCCATTAAAAATGCACTTAAGTAGAGTGGTAAGTGAAGGTTGTGAGATGGGCTCACCAGAATTATAAAAATATTTTTAGCGTTAAACTTTTCTAACAATTCTTCAAAAAAGATAAGTTTGGAAAAAAATAATATTATTTGACTATTTAAAGTTAAAGTTTCAAATTATTATCTTTATTCCGAACTTCCAGCCGTTCTCTTTGTATCAAATTGGTTTCAATTCAACATGAAAGGTATTTTTCTAGGTTTTCAGTGTTTTATGCATCTCTAGAGCAATTCTAAACAAAAGTTAGCATCTCGGAATTTATTGGTTTGGTGGTTTAGATAAGAGTCTTTCCCAACTTTTTTCACCCACCTCCACAATTTTTTTCTTCTTGCATTAAAGTTATTGTAATTTAGTTTGTGTTAGAGGAGTGCCCTTTGGGGGTTCTTACTTCTTTTCTCACATTTGATAAATTAAATTTGTAAACGAATTTTAATTTGTTCAAAAACAAATCATCAGAAAGAAATTCAGCAGTTCAATTGATTTTAAAATTTTATTTAATTTCTTCAGGAAAGCATTTATGAAACAATTAAACGGAGGTAAACTTCTTGTAAAGTTTAGTTCTAATCTTTAACTTCTTTTCTTACTAACAATATGAATCAGAATTAACCCCTCTTATCATACATTAATTCTTATTAAATTTATGTTTACAAATGAACGTTGACTTTTATCCTAGGTCGAGTAATTTTTATTTGTTACTTAAGGTAAAATAAACATGGTCAAAGTATAATCATCATTTTGTTATGCAACACTTTCTCTGCCACACATTGTATCAGATAAAATAATTGCTTTATAGAAAAAGAAAATGATCGGGCGAAACCAAGCCATTGATCAGTTCAGCGATGAGTTCAGGAACTTACCACATTATTCTGTAACTGAACAAAAGGAGAAAAAAAGGAACGAAAAGTGGTACAAGAAACGTGATTAATTATGGTGAAATATCTTTAAAAAATGTCTAGGACTGTTACTGTATCTCATATCGCTTGAATGAAAATGTTTTCAAAACATTACTCTCCATAATTATTACGAATACCCTGACTCATGGGCGTCGGCATCGGGGAGGGGAGCCCAAGGTAATTCTTCCTCCCTCCCTCAATATTTTCCGAAAAAGAATTGTACTCTAATGTTTCACTGCCATTAACTTACAGAAGAGTTCAATAAACTATATAAGCAATAATTATATTATATTACAGGTAATAAAGTGATGTCTGGGCTACTTTTTGGATGCATACAAGTGCATTGGTCCCTTCAATATTTCCTAATTGGCGAAAATAATGAATGCAATAATGGTCTGACTTTAAATATATGAAGTTCTCAGCAATAGTGTAGTCAGCAACAACAAGTTGTTTAATAATTTTTGGTTGCTTTTTTGTCTTTCCTCAGCCCTAAAACTTAGGCTGAAATGTCGACACAAAATAACAAACTCCCTACAGATTTTATTCTTTGATTGAATAACAAAAAAATAGATACATTTTTATAATCAGGCAGGAAGTTATTGTTTTATATGTATTTTTATTGTTTATTTTTCCTAGATTGACATTCTGAAAACAGGTAAATGTAGCAGGTATTTTTTTGGAATTGGATCGGGTGTACCAACTACTGAAAAAATATTCGTTTTCAAATCTTATAACGAGTAACTAGAATTTCGCGGCTGGTGGGATAAAATAAATAAATAAAAATACTGCCAATTAAATAATGACATTAATGACTCTTTTTTTTTTCTTTCAAAAACAGTTATTTTTGCACGGTTACTAAACTGTTAAAAAATAACCGGTTATAACTACAATACTGGAATAATCGGGAAAAAACGACTATCCGAAAAGAAAAAATAACGGTTTTCGGTTAAATGAACCTGTTATTCCCACCCCTTATCTCTCCCTTCGGAGACAGTTAGCTGGCTACTGAGGGTCGGAATGGTCGCTTATGTTAAAGGGGTTCTGTTTGTTTCATTACTTATTTGTTATATTGGTTATTGCCAATCAAACAATGAAAACGCAAAATCTACATTGGTCAAGGTCTTTGTGGTAAGTTTTTGCACTTGAAACTGCAATTTATTCATCACTCAATAGCAACAAGATTTTTTAAGAAAATAAATAAGATCTTATTTTACACCCCGAAAGTTTTTGATTTCAAAAATTTCGTTGTTTCCACAGACTTCTTTAATATACAATGATTATTCAAATAATTATATTATATTTAAGTTAAAATCCAGTTATTCTAAAAATGCTTTGTTCAAATGTTTTTAAACTAAAATTTTTATATAATATAAACTATCCTAATTTTTATAGAATATAAATCTATCTGATAATTTTCATCCTTTGTTTATTAGAATTGTTTTTTATATCTTTTTCTCCGATATAATTTTATTAAAAATTGCAGAGGTCTAGTTTTTCTATAAAGATTTCATGATTTTAAAATTAAAACTTTGATTGAACAGGTTCTTTTATACTTTTACTTGGAAAAAATTTACTTCTCTTTGTTCCTGTAATATTAAATAAAATCTTTTTTTTTTAAATGTATCTTTTTTTCATTTAATTTTTTTAATATTCTATTTTCGTTTAATGTTGCGGTATTAGATTTTCAATTAATATCTCCAATTTAAGAATTGGTATAGCAAATAACATATTTTTCTGTATACATAGTATCTAATCAGACTTTCCTGTTATAAAAATTAAAAGATATTCTTATCTCATATTACACATGAAAGTATTCATTTCAAGTGGCGTATTTATTGAAAATTTATTTTATAAGATTATATTTCTACCAGTTTCTTTGTATTTGAAAACCTAAGACAAAAACATTAAGTAGATTAATTTTTATATAATATAATATAATGTAATATAATATACATGGTCTTTCAGGGTTAAGTGGCCAAACTAAAAATATGAACTAAGCACCTCTAAACAAGAAAAAAATGTCTCTGAAGGTATGTCTGCAAACGCTTTATTTAGGAGATATTCACACCTAAAGATTTTCATTGTTATGAATTATTTACGTTATATTAAGTAAATAAAACTTATTTATTTGTTTCAACTACTTTTATTAATTAAACATAAACATTAAATTCATATTAAATTTTGTTCAAAGTGATTTCCTTGAGCATTAAAACAGGCTCGGCATCTTTCTTCAACAGTAGCAACGGCAGAACGGCACTAGATATGTGTTATTGTTTTACAAGATTCAATTATCCTTCTTCGTAAGAAATTAAGGTCACTGAGCAGACTTGCATAGACTTTTTGTTTAATGTATTCATTATGCCATATTCACGATGGGCAGCATTAGTATTACCATTGTAAAAACCGTATACAAACACCATATCGTCATATTCACCATTAGTATAAATGGAAGGCATAATGATGAGTACTCTGCGAAAGCCTCTTACAAACTGGTAAATGTTCTTGAGAGTTCCCAATGTTGATTCCAAATAGTATTAATCCTTATGCTGCCAATAGTTTTTTATACAGTTAAGGGTAAAAGGCCATATTGGTATTATATTAAATCCAACAAAGCGTTTGCGAACATACCTTCAGAGGAAATTTTTTCTTGTTTTGAGGTCCTTAGTTCGTTTTTTCAGTTTGGGCACTTAACCCTGAAACACCCTATATATTATATAATTTCATATTTTGGATGTAGTAAAAACCTGTAGATTTTATCTTTCCTACTTCCTGTATTATTGTATATACTCATAATTGTAAAACTTACCTTTAATGAATCACTTTGCCATATGGAGCATTCTCCGCTTCTCATTGTATTGAAGACATTATACATTCAACAGTGAAGACTTATTTTTTCTTATTCAGAAAATAAATAACATTTGAAATAAAGTGTTCATTGATGCTTATTTTATATTTGATTTCATAGTTAGTTTCTATTATTCCATTAGATAATTGCTAAGGTCTATGACATTTTTTTTTAGAATTAAATATTACCCAGTATTTTAATATGATGTAATCTAAATATAAAAATTAAGAATATTTGATGCATAAACAAAGTCAATATTAATAATAATTTAGTAATTTAAAGCTAATTATCTCATTAACATTTTCATTATTTTACATTTTAATAAATGGATCTTTCTATGATTAAATTAATACCTTAGAGTATGGTTGATTGGTTGTTGTGAAGTCAATATGTAAAACATGCTGGAAAAAAAAAGATAATTTTTCAAATATTTTTAAAAATTTCCTTCATTTCTTCAAATTGCTGATGTACTTACCAGTATTGCATTTTTATTTAACTTTCTGATGTAAAAGGCACAACTCTCAAAAATATGGACCATTTTCATTCTTCCTCCACAATTCCAACATAAGGGCAGATTTTCGTAAGTAATTAAGTGAAGGTACATAAGCTTAGAATGGCCTATTCGGAGTCGTGTAAGGACAACTTCCTCTCTATGCTTACTGCAATTGGAACTGTTTCTCATTTCCACCAGTAGGTGTTGTTCACAAGGTATTGCTCTTTACATCTTTGTATTAGCTGATCATGTTCCACACAAATATTACCAAATTCAGATACCAACAAGATTGTAATTATTTTGTTTATTTATATAATAATAAAAGTTTGATGTTACATGCTGACATCCACTGACCACCTTTAATCTCAACTCCGCAATATCAAAATTAACAAAATCCTCCAACCTTCAGTTTGGTCTTCCCCTTGGATGTTTACTATTTACCACAGTACTTATTAATGTTTTAGATGTCATTATCATTTGCTACTAAGCCCAACAATTTTACATGTCTAAGTATCGTTAATATTATAAGAAATAAAATATCAGTGGATTATTTAGCTTTCTTCAGTTAGTTCTAATTTTCTTAAGGCTGATTTAAAATTTTGTTTGTTATTTTTGTTAATGAGTTTAAACTAGAACATATTTTAATCTATGTCAAAGAACATGACAAGGCCACGTGGTCTCAACATCTGATGGCAAAGATGTAATATCTTGGATTAATGGAGACATGGAGAGAAAAGACATTCCTCATCCATCTCAGAAATAGGTTATACTAAAATCACCTTTGGACATCTAATGAAATGTAGTATGTAGTTTATTGGTAATTTTAGTGAATACAAAATGACACCTACAAGTATTCATCCTGTGTTTACCTTAGTAGGAGCATAGTGTATGAGATATAGTAAAAGATTCACCTCACGACATCACAACAATGTAAATAAGGAACCAAATAGCATTCCTCAAAACTGGAACCTCTGGGTCATAGTCACAACACGTTAGGGCATCTGCAACTTTACACCTTAGGGAACATTTTTTGGAGGCTATTATTAACAATACATGAATAATAGATAAAAAATTATATCATGAGTACTAAACCTGCGCCAAATGTTTTTCAGCTCTAATGAGGCAGTCTCATTTTCTACAGATCTAGTTTTGAGAATTTTGGTGCTTTTGATTATTAAATTTTAACATCCATCACATATCCAACTTCAAAGTACCTGGTAATAACTATTTTGGAGCCTTTTATCTATCAATAGAAACATCTAACAACTTATTTATTATTAAATAAATTGTTCTTATCATTTACCCTGTAGAGTCATTCTTTATTAGACAACAATTTGATCAATTTAATAAGTAGTTGAGTCAAAAGATGTTCCTCATGTGTTATTTGTATTTTTGAGGATTGGCATTTTACCAACTATTATGGCCATAAGGAACTCATGGCTGAAAATATTGTGTTATATTATTATTTATCACATTTCTCTAAGTTCTAAGTAAAATTCCATGCTAGGGACTAGTTTGTACCAAGATTGAGCAATTTAATCCAAAGAATCCATAAATAAATATTGTGGTGTATGGTGACTTTCTTGTTGCAAATACCTATTAACTATTGAACCTTCAGCAAACTTGGAGGCAGAGATGGGCAAATGCTGCTCTGAGTCCTGAGTACCTAAGAATTGAATTGCTACTTCAGTTGATGTTAGACGATTAACTGAAGTAGTGATCGAATTCACAATAGTGATTCAATTAGAGTAAAATACTTGGTACTCGGTATTCAAAGTAGCATTTGCCCATCTCTGCTTGGAGGGTTCACAAAGCAATCTAAGACGTTTAATAAGCTGAAAAATATTTATAACTATTGATTAAGACTTTTTTGATTCCAGGCTTTAAGGCATGGTTCAAGAGCACCAAAATTTGAAACATATGACGATCATAATTACAAGAAGGATGATGAGCGATTTTGGCCTGACGGTCCTGGTGAACTGACTAAGGTAATGAAATTCTATTCAATCAGATTTATAAATACCTATATATTCAAATACATTTGTACATCAAGTACTAAACAATTTCCTTCTACAAGTGACTTGACAATTATTGAATATATGCTTTTAAAAATAACTATTTCAGATCTTATCGCAATATATCAATTTTAAGAGACTGTTTTTAGAATGGCAAGCAAGAAGCCTTTGAGATAGGTCAGAAGTTAAGAACTAGATATTCAGCCTTTCTGGGCGATTATTACAAAACCAAAGACTTCAGGGCATTTTCAACATTAAAAGAAAGGACTATTATGTCAGCTGAACTGGTAGCAGCAGCAATATTTCCTCCTAATGGTTATCAGAAATGGAACAACAAATTGTTATGGCAACCTGTGCCTGTCTTCCCTGATTATGTTATCAATGTAAGTATCACTTTCTTAATTATTTTCATTCAAGATTCACAATCATCACTAAGTAATTGTTTGATCTGTGAATGATTCATTACATCCTAACTAAATCTTTTTTTAAAGTAATCATTTTAAAAATAATGTTTATATTTTTCACTTATTATACAACAGACTTAGTTAGTGAGTCTTATAAAACAGTTAGCAGTGGGTAGCAATCGATCAAGAAGTAGATAAGTAGTAATTAAAGTTAAGCAACGCCAAGCATGGTTGGCACTTGGATGGGTGACCACCCGATTTGGGTAAACGTCCACCAGGGAAAGCCACGCTACCTGAAATCCTTTTATGATACTTTAATTTTGTACTTTTTTGTTATTCTAAAGGAACTTCGTGCCAGAATAAAATTATTTTCTATTCTATTCTAGTCTATTGAGATGTATTATTGTGTGTCACCTGCTGGTTCAATGGAACCCAATGAAATTAAATAATAATTTAATATAGGCTATGAAATTGGTTCACTATAGCTATTTATGTATTTTGTTAATATAGAATCATCAAATCTTTAAGATGAGAAAGATTTTTTTTAATTTAGTGCGATTTAATTGTTATTATATTGTATAAACCACAAATCAAACAAACAAAAACTAATGAAAGTTGATCATTAAACTGTGAGGGTAAATCAAATATAAACACCATTTTTTTTTTTCCACCATTGTATTGTATTCAGATCCAAGCTTGATGATAGAGTGGGAATTTAATAATCAGTTTGAGAGGAATGGATAACTTGTTTAGTTAGCAGCCATGACCTTGTTCTACCCTCAGTACAGCCTTGAGCGATCAGTAGTTAAATTCATGGGTAGCACTATGATTTCTTCACGTCATCTAATGTATTTAATCTTTTTCAGCGTCTTTCCATCAAATACCGAATGTCTTATCCGAAATCCTACTCATGTCTAGTGTCCTAACTTCCTGCCACGTCAACTCCCAATCCCTTCCAGCCCATTACGATGAATTCCTAGAATATTTTACCCAAAACTTTTACCACATCATCACAATTTCCGAAACCTGGCTCAAGCCCTACATCCCCACCCTAATTCGCCTCGACCGGGACAGCCGGACTGGCGGAGGTGTTGCTCTGTACATTCATACCAGCCTAAAGACCCGAATTCTCCACCGTTTTTCTCCAACCGATCAGCCACAAGTCGAGTTCTTGATCGTCGAAATCTCCTGTAACACCTCTCATCTCCTCTATTCCGTGGTATATCGTCCTCCTCTTGTTCCGTTTGACCCGTCTTTCGAAGCTTCCCTCTTTAACTTTGTGCCCCTTTATTCCAAAATTATCATTTCTGGTGACTTAAACACCAATTTCCTCTCCGACTCCAGCGACAAATCATACCTAGAAAACCTTTTTTTCTCCCTTCATCTTTTTATCATTCCTTTTTCTGCTACGCATCACACCGCAAGGTCCGACACTTGGTTGGACCTGTACATTATTGATTCCGCTCAAAACCTCCTTTCCTCTTCCCAATTACCAGTTTCTTTTTTATCGTCGCATGACCTAATCCAAATATCCTATAATATCCAAACCCCTCCGATCCTACCAAGAACGGTAACTTTCCGGAACCTTAATGGCCTTACTCGGGAAAAAATCTTACCTTCCCTAGAATCCCTAGATTGGAATATAATATATTCCTGTACCTCAATTGATTCCATGGTTGACATTCTCACCTCCAATCTTATTAATATCCTTGATGACCATGCCCCTCTCAAAACCTCCACCTTTTGTCGCCTTCCTGCTCCCTGGATTTGTCAGAAAATTAAGGATCTTCAGAAGAGGTCTGATGCAGCCCGGAGATGCTGTAGACGCACTAGATTGCCTGACGACTATCAAGCGTTCAGGGCGCTCCGCAACCTGAAACAAACCACAATCCGACGAGCCAAATCTACCTATTTCCATGAAGCCCTTTCCTCAGCTCCTGATTCCAAATCCAAATGGCTACTCCTTCGTAAACTCTCTCTTTGTGATCCTACCAGATCTCCTCCCTCTGCAGTGCCCCCAGTTTCATCAAATGACTTAAATTCTTATTTTATATCTGCTTCCTCTTCAACTCCTTCATTTCTCCCTTCCTTCTTTCCTCCTGGAACATCTTTCACATCTTTCAATGACGCCGATTTTTATTTTTCAGATATTTCTCCCACAGACCTCATATCCGCCGTGATGAAATCTCACTATAATTCTATTGGTCCAGATGGCATTCCCGTCAAATTAATTAAATTATGCCTCCATGAAATCCTTCCGGTACTCCTTTTCATCTACAATTTTTCCCTTCAAAATTCAGTATTCCCTTCCTTGTGGAAAAAAGCCACAGTCCGTCCTTTAAATAAAAATTCTAATCCGTCTTCCCCTGAAGATTTCCGGCCAATCTCAATCCTTTCTAACCTTTCCAAACCCCTGGAGAGAATTGTGCAATCCCAAGTTTCCACCTTCCTTGAACAGTCCAATCAACTTGACCTTTACCAAGGTTTCCGACCAGGTTATTCCACACAATCCGCCCTAATCAAAATCATTAATGATGTTCAGTCCGCCATTGATGACAAAAAACTAACTGTCCTTATACTCATTGACTTTTCCAAAGCCTTTGATTCCATCAACCACTCCATTCTCTTTTCCAAATTAAAATCATTATCCTTTTCCCATAGTTATATCCTATGGTTTCAATCATTCCTCTCCCAACGCTCACAAGCGGTCGCTTTTCCTAATCAACCCTTGTCTTCCTATCTTACTTTGTCCGCAGGAGTGGCCCAGGGCTCTAGCATATCTCCCCTCCTTTTTAGTTCTTATATCAATGACATCCATAATTCAATCCTTCACTGCTCCCATCACCTTTACGCCGATGACTCCCAAATCTACCTTTCCTTCCATCCCTCAGAGTTGCATGAAGCGTTTGCCAAAATTCAAGAAGACTTGAATTGGATCAGTGCCTGGGCAAACTTAAATGGGTTAAGGTTAAACGCTGCAAAAACTCAAGCCATTGTCATTGGTTCCAAACCCCTTCTCAGAGCCAATACCAACATACCTATACTGTTCCTAAATGACCATCCCATTACCTTCACCTCCTCAGTAAAAAATCTAGGCATTTTCATAGACCAAACCCTATCCTGGAAACACCATATTGCTCACATTACCCGACAGTCAATTGGTACCTTGAAACTATTCCATCGCTTCCGCCATCTCCTACCCATCTCCACACGTAGACTCCTAGTAACTTCCCTCATCTTCCTCCACCTTGATTACGGCTGCGTGGTGTACGGTGGCCTCTCGGCAGAACTCTGGGAGAGACTGAAAAGAATTATGAATGCCTTCGTAAGATTTGTCACAGGGGCCCTGAGGTATTCCCGTGTTTCGCACCACTATGCTGAATTAGGATGGCTCTTCCCTTCCTTCCGAAGACAATATTTCCTAGGCACATTCCTTTACCAAATAATCAATAGTCATCGTCCGTCCTACGCATACAATCTCCTACAATTCAAATCATCTATCCACACCCTCTCCACAAGATCTCGTCCTTCTGACCTTTACACTCCTTTCCACAGATCTGCATCATTTAAACATTCCTTCGTTGTCCGTTCCACTGCATTCTGGAATTCCATCCCACTAAAAATCCGCCATGCATCATCCTTATCCACCTTTAAAACCCTCTTATTCCAATTCCTCTTCACAATCCAATCAGACGCTGGTTAAATACATACTATGTTATAAGGATTTAATTTTCTTTAGACATTATTTTTTTTCTCTTATTTTTTATTGTTTTATTCTGTGTTGAACGTGAATTTTCATCACCACTCACTAAGCATTGTGAGTAGATAAAATTTGTTTTCCTTAAGTTCTAATTTGTTATTCATGGAATGTATTTCAGTGAAATGTATTTTATTTCTAATTATCTTCAACATACTTCTCGCTATGTGTATATATATACTTTATTTTATTTTCTCTTCTCCTAATCTTTACGCATAATCACTTAAATATCTTAGGGAACATATGTACATCATTATTTGTTTTTTTTATATATTTTTTTGTTTTAGTTTTTACAATTTCTTTCTCTACATATTAACAGTTATTATTATTTTTTTTAATTTTTATATTCCATCACTAAATGCTTTACCTATAAAATAGATTTTACTTTCCTTTCTAATTTCATTCAGTGATTATTATGCTATTATTTTAGCTCCAATATTGTAGTACTGAACCCCTATTACCCAACTGTCCTCGTTAATTTATCCTAAGAGCCTAATTAATACTTAATGTATTACATGTATTTTGTCATTATTCATTGTAATAAGTCTTTTGACCAGATTTGTAGTTAATATATATGAACAATACTGTTATTCTAAAGGGACCTAGTCCCAGAATAAATATGATTTTTCTATTCTATTCTATTCTATGATAAAGTTTTTATTCAATGGAGTCTTTATAAACTGGGAAATGTTTTACTTGTTTTTCAAAGAACATTTTAGGGAAACTACAATATGCACTGATAGGTATGGATAAAGAAAAAAAGTTTTACAATGGAGTGTAAATGTTGGTCAGAGAATTCAAGGGTTGATGAAAAAATGATAGTCCTGATCTATGTTCCAAGGGTAAATCTTACAGATGACAACATTCATGCCCTTCAAGAGCTTATTAAAATTTCTGGTTCACTATTAAAGGAATTTCAAGTAGGGAACCAGTAATGGAAGTGCACAATTCATTATCACTGATCTAATCTTAGCTTCAAATAGTTACTGTTCAATGGATTACAGGATTGTTGAGAGAAACTAAAAAAATGTTAAGTGATGTCAGAGATCAATAAGATATTATTTAACATTTTAAGTACATATTAATTCCTGTAGCTTACAATAACATGTTTCAAGCAAAATTTTCATACATTTTTCCAGGTCAATTAATATCAATTCAACATTACAGGATAGGGCTTGACATTTATTCAGCAGTTGCTTTATTTTAAATATATTATAACTCCATGGTTATCCCAATATATAGTCATGTTGGTCATAAAGATTTTTTTTTTATTTTATAAAGAATTTTTAACATAGATTTAACTATGAACTTTCTTAATTTTTTATAATTGGGCTCAAATATTTTATGGTATATTTTATGAAGTTATGACCATGATGAATATTCTATTAAATAACTTCATAATCATCATCATCATCCCAAGCCCCACAATCCATTAATGGATCTTGGCTTCCTCAAGAGTTTTCCCTCATGTTTCCCTATCCTGAGCAGCCGTGCATAAGTTCCTGATTCCAAGGATTCTGGCATCAGCACTTACTCCATCTTTCCATTTCAGTTTCGGTCTGCCCACTTTTCTTTCTCCACCTGGCTCCATGCTTAGCAGTTTCTTTAGGGTTGTGGTCTCGTCCATCCGTACAACGTGGCCCGCCCATTTCAGCCTTGCTCTCCGGATATATGTCACCATATTCGGCCCCTCGTATAAGTTGGCTAGTTCTTGGATGCGACTAATTCTCCTCAACTGGGCCAAATATCTTCCGAAGGACCTTCCTTTCAAAAAATAATATTTTACTCTCAATGGCCTTCGTCAGTGTCCATGTTTCACATTCATATGTCAAAACGGGTTGTATAAAGACTTTGTACAGGAGAAGTTTATTTGATCGTAGTAGTGAATGGCTTTTTGTGTACTTCAGGAGACCATTTTTTTTTTTTGCTTCACTTCCAGTTTCATATAATTATTCGCAGTCACTACCGATTCTAAATATTTGAACCTTTCAACTTTATCAAATTTATATCTACCAAATTGGATGGTTGAATCAGTATGACGGCTGTCAGTTATCTTATACTTGATCTTTTCTTAGTTGATCTCAAGTCCCATCTCAATTGCTGCTGCCTCTAACAAGCTGTAAGTGTCTATCAAAGCTGTCAAGGATCTACCAATAATACATAAATCAAAGGGGTAAGCGAGTGTTTAATCTCATAGTAGTGCTGCATAATTTGCTTGTTCCTACTTATACTAATTATACTGTTTGAATTTCCAACTACTGTGTTTATTGAATTGTTCTCAGTCTCCATTCATTAGATCATTGGAGTGATTTTGTATGCATTGATAGGTAAAGATAAAAAAGAAAGATTAAAAAAAAAAATTAATTGGAAAAGTATTTTTTCAGGGAAATGATGATAATGTTTGCAAATGGTTTCTACCAGTCTCTAGAGCTGAAATGAAAAATACTTCTGCATCTGAGTTTGGTTTTGACAAAGATGACCTAAGAGTGCTTCAAGATAATATAGGATTATTATATGATGAAGATCCATTCAACTTTATGTCAAAGTTATGGGATGTCTGGGATACTCTTTTCTTTCAGGTAAGAATATTTGAAAAATAAAATTGAGTGGTTGGCTCTGATAGTGGGTGAACTCCTTTGACAATTTTTATGTAGTGAAAACTATAAAATATACACTGCAGAACCGAAAATATCTAAAAAAATTTTAAATAATGTAGTCCAAATATGGATTTATTTTATATGAAATATTAGAGGAGTTGGTCAGGAGTGTGGTCAAATAAATACTAAATCTTTAAAATATAGTATTTTAATTGTTTCACCGACTTTTCGATCCACCTTGCAGGTCTTCATCAGTGCTACAAAAGATACAAAATATAAAAGGTACATGGTGAAAATAAAATAAATGAATTACATAATATCTACTTATAATTCAATAAAATAAATGAATTATTTAATATCTACTTATAATTCATTTATTTTATTTTCACCATGTACCTTTTATATTTTGTAACCCTGATGAAGACCTGCAATGTGGGTCAAAAAAATTAAAAATACTATTTTTTTTTAAATTTAGTATTTATTTGACCGCACACCCCGACCAACTCCTTTTCATATTATATCATGGTCAACCATCTCTACATCTATATGAAATATTAATGAATTACAAAAAAAAAAAAATTAACATATGGATTGCCGAGTCCATAACAGAGTTCAAGTTAAAAGTGTTGCCTATGATCCTGCAGGATAGAGGCAAAAAAAAAAAAATTAATAATTAATAATATCTTTGGCTCTTATAATCATAAAACTATAAATGATCTTCGTTTCTTATATATTATTTTGAAATGCTAATAATAAAATAAACATTTTAGGATAAAGGAAACCTTACTCTCCCACAATGGACCAACACTTTATATCCCAATAAGATGTCAGCTGCAGTTCTTAAATTTGTAAAGTTCTATTTGTCAGGAAGTACAACACGAAAGATAGCATTTGTGGGTATGTTATGACCATAATGGTATTTTATCAAATTTATAGTTTAATAATATATTGCTCCCCCATGCGGCAGAATGTATTAATTTTGAAATTAAAAAAAAATATACATTTGAGCTTATGAACTCAATGACACTTCTTAAGATTGTTTAAAATTATGACATTCATTTACTAAAATATTATATCTCAATAGATGTATTAGATATTTTAATTACATGATATGTATAATATTTAACTTCTTCAACATTTTTTGTTTAAACTTTTAAGATTCTGAAGACAATGAGAGAATGGCCTTGAATGGTAATTGTATACAGTCACTAACATTTGTGGTTTATAGATAAGTCCCCTGTGAGCTTATCCTCAGTTTCTTACATATTTGATTTTAATACTCTTAAGATCTTTCAACATTTCTTTCTGGTTCTTATGCTTCTTTATGGCTCAATCTAAACTCATCAAAAAGATGATGAAGAGATTATTTGCAAATTAAAAAAAAAAATTATTATTTTCCAACTGGACTTAGGGTACCTCACATTTGAAAGAATTCCTCATTTAATATACTTTAAGTCCATATTAATTAAGCTGAGATTCGTTGTAGAGTAAATTAGGATTCACCACTAGTTGTGTAAAAACATTATATCATATGATATTCTGTTATCTCAGAGCACCTGTGTTGTCAGCAAAAGTAACAACAAAAAATTATTACAAAGTTTTAATTTCTTTAATCCTTAATGCCATTTATATATATTTATGTATATATATATACATATATATTTATTTATGCTTTGTTTTAAGGTCCATATGCTAAGGCTCTTGCTAGTTACTTTACAGAGGGTCAGAAAAAAATGGAATTACACGTATGGCATGATATGAACATAATTGGGCTTTTGACAACACTTGGTATAGAAATTGATAAGTACCCAGATACTACAGCTACTGTCGCTATTGAACTACATAAAAATAATGAAGAATATTATTTTGAGGTAATTAATTTATTATTAATTCTTTTCTTTATTTTACATTAAATCAACTTATATACTCATATACAATCTTATATACTCATTACTCATATATTTAGTATCAGTTATATATTTTTAAATACAATAGTTTTGCTTCATGGGTGAGATCTATTTAGAAAACGAAAAATAAGAAGCTAACAGGTTTTCTAAAAACAATATCCACAGAATACTACATAAAAAAAAAGTAAAATTAGTAAAAAATATTATAGATAGAGGTAAACAAATCAAATCGATAATCCTTCCAACCCATGAAGAACTAAGGAACCATCATCGAGGTGGGCCAAGTATCCCTTAACTGCTGATGAAAGAATAATAAATTGATTTTTCCATAATGTTCACAAAATATTCTAAGGAAAAATAATCAAGCAAATAGGTTCTTTCAAATAAGTTATCATCAAAAAATTAAATAGTCACCCACGGCTATTAGTCACCTTTAGATTCCTAAGATGGTGAAAAATTAATTAAAATTTAAATTAAATTAAATATTCAATAAGATTATTTATTTATTTTTTTATTTAGAGTAATTTCAAAACTTGAGTCACACTTATGCATAAATGTTTTGAAAAAAAATGTGAGAAATAGTGTGTTGATTAACTCTTAGCAATCTTTATAGTTGTTTTTGGTAGTCACTTATATGAACATACATAATCCACATAACTGAAGAAATCTCATTTTGAATAAAACTAATATAATTATTTTTTCCTCTTGAGATTATAAGCTCTGTAAACGGCATATTATAATGATTTAATTTTATGTATTATATTGTTGGGAAAAAATTGTATTATTGCATTTAATTTAATTTTCCTACTTTCTTGAGAAAGTCTATTTATATGTAGAGGGAATTCATAATGAACTGACCAGCATTCCCAAGTAACTTTACTTCTTAGATTTTAAACTTTTTCAAAAAGTGTGAAGGTTTTTAAGACACAAAACCTTATCGTCATTAATAATCAAAAACATGACTCTTAAAAAAAACAACTTAATTATCCTGCTTTATGGGGAAAATCAAATTTATCTTTAGGTTTTAATTGTCTTTCGTACCTCTAGAGGTCTACTATCAAGTCTTTAAATATTCTCCTTTACTTATGTGATATCCTGTATATCTAAAATAAAATAAAACTATTTTTATTATTATGTACATTTACTGTATTGTTTGCTTATAGGTGTATTATTACTCAAATTATAAAGAAAACATACCAAAACTAACGAAGATGCCTTGTGGGACCACTTGTGAATCAAATATAGTGATAGAACGTTTTCAAACTTATGCTAAGACTAATTTTGAAGAATTGTGCACAAAGAACATTACATTATCTGTAATAAACTTAGTCTAAAATACAACAGCTATATGACTGTCAAATTGTCTGTAATTTTATATACAAGATTTGTACTTCCACTTTTTTTAAAAAATTTTTATTATTCAATTTTTGTATATGATGACAAATTTTAACAATAAATGTGTGTGTGTGTGTTAAATGTTATTTTACTTGCCATTTTTGTGTTGAATCTGAATATAAGTGTTTTGATATTTTATTATTAACTTTAATTACTTCAGTTATTTATTAGATCTACCCTTTGTATCGCCCCATGAATCATTACAATCACCTCGTAGTGTCATTACTCCAACCTATAATTATTAAAAACACATTTTTAGCCATTGGTCTGTCTGCCTGTCTGTGCCAAGATTTTCTCGGAAACTACTGAACCAATTTTGTTGCTTCTTTTTTCATTGTTTAGGGTTTTGACAACTGATGCCTGTGACAAAAATTCAGTGCTCCATCCGATATAGCTCATGAGCAATAAATGAAAAACATGTTTTTCTATAGACTGTAGTGCGAAAATGGCTTTGATGAAACTTTCCTATAATGTTCTAATAATTGTCCTTTCGATTTTCGTATATTGACTAAATTCCCGAGAAATTCCAGGAAAAAAAGTTATAAAGAAAAGAAAAATGTTTTGGGGCCTAACTTGCTAAGTGTATATTATATGGTAAAATTTATAATAAAGCTTTTGAAAGGTAATTAAATCTGGTGTGTCCACTCACACGACTTTCCTACCTATTTCAGAAAAGTTTTTATATCTTTGAATATGTTCATGAAGAAACAAAAAAAAATTGAACTAGATTTATTTTCCTGAAAATTGATCAAAGAAAAGATCTGAGTATGATTTATTTGATAAAGCAATGTAAACCGGCTTCAGATAGATCAGTATAAAAATTTCAATACTCTCTAAAGTATAATACATTCAATTAGATACTTGAATAATTAGTATACATCAGCAATAAAAACAATCAAAAGTTGTAGATAGATCATATTGGATAACTTAAATTAAAAAAAAAAGAAAAACTAGCTCTCTTCATAGAAAGTAAATGCTTTAAGTTCAGTTTATATGATAGAAGTTTAACTGCTGCCAGTTATAACCTTCTTAATAAAGTTAATGTAAAATAAACTACAGTTATTATAATAGATTTATATCTGTCAAGGGTACTAAAAAGGTCAAATGTCAAACATATAGGCTTCAATTGAACATTAAGTAGTTTACAATAAATCAGAATATATCCTTTACATTTATAAGAAGAAGAAGGAATTTAATTAATGTAAAGGACTCACGAGAAAAGCTAATTTAAAATAAACTAATAATCATTCAATTGGCTATATATATGTGTAATTTTGGGTATTTAATCTTTTTATTTTTTTAAAACTAAATCAGTGGTTTCTTCAGCCTGACTTTCAAATTATATTTATAATATAATCCATAATAAAGTAATAAATAAATATATATTTAATCACATCCTAGTAAATATATAACATAGTAATATGATCCAATAAAACAGAAAAACAATATTTATTAAAATAACTAACATAATTTTTAATAAAAATAGAATAAAAGTTACCTTCTGCCAACAAAATCATTTTTAAACATAAATTAATTTTTTTTTTAATTACAAATCATTAGTCAAATTTAATAACAGGCTTTATAACTTTTAAACATTTTTATAGTATTAAAAAAACATTTTCTAGTGTTAACAATAAACATATGAAAGAGACATGTACTTAACATGGGTAAAGAAATAAAAAACATGTATGGAACAGTTTTGCATTCTTGCAAATAATGATCAAGAAGGCAGTAATTAATTTCTATTATTATTTTAACTACAGCCACTTCACTTTTTTTTTCTTAAATGTCAAATTTCTAACAGGATTTTAATAATAATAGGATTTAAATAAGTCATATTTTAACAATCCACTAACATTACAATTTAAAACCTTTTGTGATTGACACCATTTTGAAATGAAATTACTTTGATATGGTAGCTAAATGTATATTTGAAGTTTTTGTTTGGCTGATTACATAACAAGGATTGAAATAAGTACATTTTCTTACCTTGATACTTAGAATAGGAGCTAGACAGTCATAGCCTTCACGTTTTATCCTGCTTCAAAGCAGTTAACAGTCGATACAATTTGATGAAAATATTAATGCACACATTGTCTATAAAAATTAATATAAATATTCACAGCAGTCTTCTGAGTAACCAACTTACAATACATCATTTCTCTCTTCAAACTTTTGTTCTGTCTTTCAATGTTTTAGATTCTGATATGCCGTCTAACTTCATTAGGTTAATCCCATTGTCAACAGTCTTTCCAAACTTTAAGTATTTTCTGAAATTTTATAATTTATTTTTGTTAGTTAGTATTCAAATGAGACTTTGAAAATTAATTTAAAAAGCAATGAGTAATTCTTAAAAATATTTTAAATTGAAAGAATGGTTGTTTTAATAATAAGTAATAAAGATCTTCCCACACAAAAGTATAATCAAAATTTATCATCAATAAAATGAAGCATTGTGATTAAAATAATAGATGGTTTTTCAAAATTAGAATTATTTTTCAGAGAATGTTTTCACCAAGAAGTAAACAGTAAAAGTAAAATATAACTGTTGAGAATACAAAACCTAAGCCAAATATCTTTAGCAAACATAAATATTTCATTACATAAAAACTTAGGAATGAAATAAAATTAGAACATAAAAGTTTACTCTTATTTTATGGTAAATGTACAGAGTATATTTTGGACTTTTTCTCTAATTTTGGCTAGAAAAAAATATTAACCAGTAGTATAATCCATGTTTCTTCTGCTCTTGTTACATAAGAAAATTGAATCCAAACAAAAATGATGGTGTCATATTGGTACAAGACATACCAAAGAGGAAACATATATATGATATAATCCTTACCTTGTTGACGGGCTGCTTCTCTAAATGTAACCAGTAATTGTTGTTTTACTCTCCTTCAAAATAAAATTAAATTCTTTCCTTAATGTGTCCAATTTCTTACATCTATGGCCCATTTTTTCACTATATTTCCTCTGCACTGATTCTAATAATTGATCGAGAATGAACTTTGCATTTTGCTGTATAAGACTTCTCTACAATATAAAGAAGAAATATCTAATTGAAATAATAGTTATTTAATACCTGCATTCAAATTTAAAAAAAAAAACTAATGGAATTATTAGGAGAGAACAACTTCATAATAAGCTTGTTCCCTTTTCATCAATAATTTCCCAAATTAATAAACATGTTGAAAAAAAATATTTAGTAACATTTACTATAAAAAATTATATTAGAATCATGAATCAGACTAAGAGGACGTCCACACTGGGTTCATTTTATAATCGTTAAGGATGCGATATTTTTGTCATGGTCATCAGAACAAAGTTCAACCCTCAGGCTGTACCAGTAGTTGATCCAAGATTTAATTTCTTTTTTCTATAAAATACAATCATTACTCTGAAAGAAAAAGGAAAAAAAAACTACCTGCATGAAATGATGTTTAATTAGTCTTTAAAGGCAAATAAAAGGAAGTATATTTAGTAGCTGTATAAGCATTATAATTTAAAAAGATAATATAGAGTGATTGTTTAAATATTTAGTTCATTTGCCGCTCAAAATCAAATATGGACAAACGAAAAAAAAAATTATGTTCCCATTTTGGGGGCTTCAGCCTTCAGACATTTTGCATTTCAAGCCTAATAACTCATTTTGCTGTTCTAATGAAATTTTAGAAGTTCTTCTTAATCAAAACAGGATGATTTTGTCATCTTTAAAACTCCAAAAATCTGTAGTTAAGCATGTTTAACTCTAATGCTGCAACAAAGAGCTGACGAAGCCATGTTCACTGATTTTTTACTATGATCTAAGCTGTATGATATAGTCATAATATATCGTCCTCATCACTACTCAATAAACTGAAAATTTTAAAACCAATTCACTAGAATTTGAGGATTAAGGCTTCTTTGATAACCAGTCTGCAGACATGAGACGAGGGAGATGAAAATCGTTTCGTATGCCTACTAGACAAAAATCAAATGCAAGGGCAAAGACAACCTGGGTGTGAACTCTCTAATGATTTTATGATAATTAAGTAACTTCCAACAGAAGCTTTCAAACATTAATAAGAAGTTATTAAATAAATCGAGAAAAAATAACTTCTGTAAAAAAGTAATGAAAAAAATAATTTTATTATTATGCTACTCCTAATGATAATGATATAAGGTCAACCATGGTACCCAAGAAACATCAGGAACTGATAGTTTAACTAAAACTATTGTACAATTTAGAAAGGCTATAGATGTTGCCAATTATTAGATTTACTGATATACTAGTTTTGCAAGCTTAGAATATTAAGAATCAACTGGTTTCTCTTAATCAGCTTAACAAGTATTTTTCTTGAATACAATAAGAATTATCCTATTTTGCAAATTATTATAAAAAACAGAGAGGTTTGATGAGGGGAAACATTTCTAGAGATCTTATCTCCTCAAAGAGAAGTTTGTATTTCATAGGTTTTAAAATGTGTGAAAGGGGAAAAGTATGGAAGAAATTCTGCAGCAAGAAAGGATATAGAATTTTAATTCTGGTTAGAGTTAAAAGGTTTTGTAAAAGGAATAAACAAAAAAGACACAAGAAAATGTAGTTTTTAAAGAAATAGTCTAAACATAATAAGCAAATAGCACAAACCTGAGAACCAAATTTATTACTAGAGTAAGAGGCTGAAAGATGGTTCAAATGTGCCTTAAGTACTTCCTTCAATACTTTACTTAGTGCAAACTCCAAATCCTGACAGGATATCATAAGACCCTCATCCGTCAAAGAGGATAACAACTTAGCAAAAGACAGGCTGTTTGCAGTCAGCTCAAAGACTCCATCCTCTGAAAAGTAAATAAACTTTACACTTACATGCAAGTGATTAATAAATTATTTATTAATTTAGTTCATTCGATAAGGATAGGTTTTAATAAAACAAGTTGATTAATATATAATTGATTATGATCACATACAGCTTGTGATTATGTATAATGAAATAATAAGGAAACTACTCACGAGCCAGATATTCTGAAACAGGGAGCCCTAACTCTGACTGAATCTTGTTGACTGATTGCTGTGTCTGCCTGGACGGTCTCCATGGGTCTTCGGCAGCTCTCACCTAGATCCAGTTGTAAAAGATTATGTCTAATTAATGTGATAATAGAATATAACAGATTATAGACTCTGAAATGGTTTCATTTTTAAAAATCACCACATATTAATTTGAGACACTTCCTTTTAAAATCAATAAATAGAATGTCTACTTTCTACTAAGTATGTCTACTCTCCTGATATATTAATCATATTTTAATTTTTTTTTAAGTTACGAAAGATAGTTTTTATAAATAAAAATTATTTATTACTATAAAAATATTGAATATTAATTGTATTATGATTATTTAATTAATTTGTAACCTTGACGGCATCAACAGCTTTCTCTCCTGCTTCAGCTACTGCGCGTGTAACTGCGGTCATAGTCTGGCCATTAACCTGGTAGCTTAGATCTAGTCCAAGCTCACACATCTGAAAATAAAATGAGTGCTCAAATGTTATTTTTCAGAGAAAATAATTAATTACTTTTTTTTTTAAACAGATAAAAAAATACTCATAAATTAGAAATAAAGTAAAATCATTAAAAAAGGAAATTTCAACAATGAAATTGTATTGATAAGATTATGGTGTATATATATGAAGACACTATTTACTTAACACGTATGAGTTCAATAAAACAAAATGGGGTTGCAAAGAGGACATAAAATAGCAACACTTATGAACTTACTAAAAAGAGAACCTTCAGTGAACTTTAAGTAGCTCTACATTATAAAATGTACATAGTGAGAATGCTGAGATTTATTTCATTATAACTTGTTTAAAAATAAAAGTGCTAGAGTGATACTCCAACAAACTCCCCAGCCATGGCTTTAATTTCACAACAGAATGAATGAATTTGCTCAAAAAATCACCTCTTATATAGGTGTAATATAAAACAATAAAATAAATTATTGCTCAACAAAATTGATATAGATTTTGAAATGAGATAGTAATGATGAAGACTTTATCATCATCTGAGAATAACTGACCTGCTGAGATTGCTTCCTAATAATGTCTATGCACTCTGCTAGCGTACCGAGAGGTGTCTGAGGGATGAATACTTGCTTTATGATGTGTGAAAGGAAATGAGAGGCTTCCATTGACACCCATACAACAAAAGCTAAAAAAAAGAAAAGATAGGATCAGATACAATTGGTCGAGCAAGTACTTAGATACTAACATTTAACAGGGAGAGAGGGGAGTAAGAACATAAATAAAATTATAAAAAGAAAGAAGTGAACCAGTTTGTATCAGCAGACTACAGTATGTCCAATACGTATTTAACTTAAAACAGTCCAAAATTATCCTTGAATACAAGATTGCTTCAAAGAAGGGTGGTATTTTTCAAGAGAAGGAGAACCTAATTTCTGAGATTATCTGATGATCCTCTGTCCCATAGCTGAATGGAATGATAACAGCTGGGAATGATAACCCAATACTACTTATCTTAATCAGAAAACTTAATTTGATGTTAAAGAGACTGGAATAGATGTTGTGTGCCGAGAAACAACACTTTTACCAAAATGGTCTTCAAATAAAGCAATCATAATACATGGCCCTGTGATGTTAACAATGTGCATATTGCTACAACATCATAAATATAAACAATAATAGATAGATAGATTTTTATTTGTTTTTTGGGGGGTTCCCTATATAAATAGAGCCTAGCTTGGCTATTGTAGAATAATATAGTTTTACAAGTTATATAAATATCATTTAAATATAAATAAACTTTACAATTTTACGTTTATAATGGGTTTTACAAAGCATGAAAAACAATAAAAATTAAAAACATAAAATGATTACTGCATAATAATAGTTAAATGAACCTGTTACTATGATGGAACAATAAAAAATATAAATATTTATATATACAAACAAAATATTACTTTTAACATAAACTAAAAACAAACACTTAATAGAACATGGCTATGATGAACAATTTTGTGAATGCACTTTGTGTACTCCCATCATATAATAGTATAAACTTTGTTTACTATAGTATCACATTCTTTTAGTGTAAATTTAAATAGATTTTTTAAACCATTTATATTGCAAAACAAAATATGATGTCCATGTTGTTGTACATTATTGGGGTAGATGGTTTTACCGAGTCCTTTCAGTGAATCGTGAACAGGTATCAGGCCGGAGGAGATGGGTTCGGTCCGTCAGGACGACTTACCTGTTGCTGAGACTGATGAGCTTCGTGGTCGAAATTTAAACTTATCTAGACTATTTTCAGCCTTTCTTTTCTTTTTTGTTTGTTCTTCATCGGATGTTTGCAGTGTGCCCGCCTGTATGTGTGCCCATATACGATATGGGGATATCAGCTTCAGATTCATTGATTATGTCATCTACTTCTTTCATTTTATAGTATGACCCTCTTATTTTGAAAAAACCTTTCCTATAAGACGCATTGCTATCAATAGTTTTTAATTTGATTAAGCATGAGTGAAATTTTCTCCCTTCTTCTCTTTCTTTGGGGTCTTATCATGACTTAAAAATATGTTTTTATTTTTTAAAATATCTCTACACTTAAAAATCTGTTGTTTCACAATATTATTGTTGAGTGACTCCAATATTGGGCCTTTCCGAAGTCTCTAACAGGTATTAACTGCATAATCTGGGATCGTTATATCACATTCCGTGAAGCTGTCTATAACTTTATCGAGTCTATTTTCATTTTCACTGAAAGGGATGTTATGGATCGAAAAATTATTCTTTTTTATCTGCCGCTTTAAAAAATTAATTTCTTTTTCGAGTTTAGAATTCTTTAACTCTAGATTTTGCAGGTATTCTTTAACCGATCACATTCTTTTAATACATCACCTATGAGAGAATTATTAGTTTCGAGGGATATTTTCATTTCATTAATAGCTCTCATTATATCGTCGTCGAAACACATTATTATGAATAAGTACTCAGCAGTGATTTTATACGGTAAGGTGACACTGACCTTCTACAGCTGGAGCGGGTGTGGTGGGAGTTTGCAGGTTCAATTCAGTCCACAAATAAGCGGCCCAGTCCTTGCAGCAGGCTAATTTATTTACAATTTTCTCGTATCGAAATTGCTCGGTGAATTTTAACGATGTTTGAGAAATGAGTTACTGACAGACAGAACTACAACTGTGTAAACTTTGAACTAAATTAGACGAAAAAGAACTGATGAAAAATGAGAACAACTAAGACCCGATCTATACTCGTTGCCAGCCGTGGCTAGACTCCCAATATAAAAACAATAATAAATAGCTAAATAAAAAAAATTGATTAAATGAGCCAAAATTTGATGAAATATGTGTACACAGTATACAGTAGAAAAACACAGTACACAGTAGAAAAATTCAAGTCACTACAGTAGAACATAAAGTTAATACTCTCTTGTTTAATGTTATGCAATTACCACTAAAATATATATCTAATATATGCATCATTACCACTAAAATATATCTCTAATATATGCATCATTACCACTAAAATATACCTCCCTTAATATAGGTATCTAACATTTTTCAACATCCCAACTTAACACCTTCTGGTAGAATGTCTCCAATTCGAAAGCCACAGAAAAAATGGATCTAGGAAAAACACTAAAAGATATTCTACATGATAATGAAGAGCGAGTCTCTTAGACAAGTTAGCGAGTTTTTTAAATTTTTAAAGATTATAAATTACTATAACAGAATATAAATTATAGAAAATGACAATGACCCTTTAGGGTACAGGCGAGAAAAAGAGAGAAAAAAATGTAAGGGCAATAATAAAATTTATAACTGTGCTATTTTCAATATGGAACTTTTTTAGGTAAGATAAAAATTTGTAAATACAAAGAAATATATAATTCGAATCCTGCCCGTCGGTGTCCTTTTTTAAAAAATAATATAATTTAATTTATATGATCACTTACAGTTATTTTTATGATAATTTTCAGTTATTTTGCTTTTCATAAATGTGCTGATATGCAAGAAAGCGAAGTGCTGAAGGATTGCCGCTCTAATTTTGCATTGCTATATGCAGCCGGGAATGCATATGTCCTATTTATTAAAAGTTGAATAAAAAGATTAAAATGTATTTTTGAAAACTAAGATCTTGCAGGGTGACTAAAAATGACATATTAAACAAATTTATGCAAGAAATAAATCCAATTTTCTGGAAGTATTTTTGGATTTTAGGATGCACCATCTGGTAGAAACACGCAAATGAGCTCCCGCAGTTAAAGGGTTAATACTCGTAGAATATGAATAAATAAATTCTGCCACAAAGGAGCTTGAAGAAGGACCTGGAAGTAAGAAATCCAGTACCTTACTGAGCTTCCCGACCCCCCTAAATTTATTATATGAATATAAAATTATGGTTAAAAAATATACATAGATATAATTGTTAGTACCTGATGTACAATCTTGATTGTGAGGGAATGCACGGTATTGAAATTCAGAAGTTATAGACGCTAGATTTGAAAAATATACTTCTGATAATCTCTTGACGTATGCCACTGTTGCGCCCTCTCTTTTCACTCGTTTACTTTGTGCTTTTAGGAGGTTTGTACAAACTTTCAAATACAGTTCACATGCCTAAAGTTAAACAAACACAATCAGTCAATTAAAATCAATTACCATGTTTTTTTTCCTATATATCATGATAGTGAATCATCAAAACATAAGGCTAGGAAATTTCTTTAAAGGGAAGATTAATGATATAAAAAACAGATAATTATAATTTGTAAACAGAATATGTACAAGAACTAGAGCTGGTAGATTTAAGGAACAGTAAGGGTGTGAAAGTTTAGGATCACAGCAGAGAACATTTTTGTGATAAAAATTATGGTGGTTATTTAGTGCAAACATTATCCCAAATATCCTGCAATATGTATAGGTTAATAATAATTTATCAAGTTGATGATTTAAAACCAAAACAAAATTTCATCATCTTCTTAGCTTTAAAAAATTACAATTCACGAACTTACCTGGGTTGATTTGTTGAGCTGATTAAGGAGCCTAACAGCTCTCCGACTAGCTCGAAGACCTCCTTGTAATGATTTTTCAGCACTGACGTTCAACTCTGATAGGAGAACGCTGATCAATACATCTTTCCTATTCTCCACTTTGGACCTAAATTATTTTTGAAAATCTTACAAATATCTACCAAGTTGATCTCTAAATAAAATTGTTTGGTCATAATACATTTTATATTTAATAGTTTTCATTTCTTTAAGATTTTTTCAATTACTTTACAAACTTTATTAAAAACCTATGGTCTAAGTACACTGCCATATATTTAAATAGGCCCTTTTTCATATTGTAATTAAAAAATGAAGATAAGAATAGTTGGGGTGATCAGTCAAACAAGAAGGCAAAAATAAATGATACTATTTATTTTGTCATTAGCCGACGTTTCGACCTGAAGTTCAGGCCATCATCAGGGCTAAGAAAAGAACCAGATAACAAGGTATGAGAAACATAAGTAGTGTAGGTAAAAAAAAAATAAAGTAAAATTCAGTTGTTAGAATAATGACAATAGTAAGAATAGAATATGTTAACATAATAGAATATGTTAAAGTATATTCTATTATGTTAACAGATAATATTCTTACTATTGTCATTATTCTAACTGAATTTTACTTTAATTTTTTTTTTTACCTAAACTAGTTATGATTCTCATACCTTGTTATCTGGTTCTTTTCTTAGCCCTGATGATGGCCTGAACTTCAGGTCGAAACGTCGGCTAATGTCAAAATAAATAGTATCATTTATTTTTGCTTTCTTATTTGACAGATCACCCCAACTATTCTTCTCTTCATTATTTACGACAGTCAACCATTTACCAATTATGTAATTAGAAAAATTGTTTAAAATCCAATCTAATGTCCAAAGCATGCTGTAAATTTAAATGCTGACTCATGAGAAACTGTATATCCAATAAGAATTAAGAAGGCACCGATGAACCACTCAGCGCATTACCAAATCAATTTATTATTTTTTTTTTTTTTTAAATAATTATATTATGCAGTTTTGAGAGAGAAAACATTTTTTTCTCTTTCTTGGTCAATATTAATAATCTATGGTACAAATACCTTTTTATCAAATTATTAATATCTACCTTAAACTTTGTGAATAGCTTCATCTCATCATAACCTACAACTTCTTTATAATTATGAAAATTCTCAGAATTGGGGCATTTTCAATCTAGAGATTTGCAAACTTTGTTTATTTAATTAGGTACTAAAAATTCATGAACAACCATTCGCTTTCGACTTGAATCGTAAGATAATTTGATCACAAAATCGAGAAAAAATGTGGTATACAAAAATATATGGCTTTTGGGCATAACCTTCACCTCCAACAATATAAGACAAATGGCCCGATATTTTTGTAGGCCACCTTTTTTTTTTCCTTTTTTTTAGATTTTGTGATTAAATTATCATCCGATTCAAGTGGAAAGCAAATTGGTATTTATGAGTACTTAATACTTAATTTAATTATAAAATTCCCAATTTCTGATAATTTTCATAGATAAAAAATTTGTAGGTGAGGATAAGATGAAGCCATTCACGAAGTTTTAGGTGGATGTTAATAATTTGATACAAAGATGTCTGTACCACAGACTATAATGGTTCATAGTTAAAAATAACTAAATCATAAATAAAAATTCCAATAGGTATTCAGCTATCAATTATCTGATTTTGATGATTTCTTTTTTTATTTTATCAGAAATTCAGAAATCTTTCAAAAGATAAGTATAATCAACAATAAACTGTATACTTATTGAGTTATGCACAAATAGAATTTTCTTTCATATCACAACCCTCAGTATTTCTTTGTCAGCTAACCATGAATTACAGAACTTAAAGTTGAATTTTAAACAATAGCTAAGATTACAAAAAAGAAACAAAAAACATTACTTTATATCTGTTAGTGATTGATCATCTTGTGCAGACGCAAAATACTCCTCGGCTTTTTGAATGATTGCATAGGCTTCTTCAAAATGTCTTTGAGCTATAGATACATCAAGATCATCAGCTGCTTCAGTCAACCATTCTGGGAGTGCATTGCAATCTTCATCATCATCCAGCACAAATCCAAATGCTATGCAAACCACCAAATTTAATTAAAATGCAAAACATAATTAAAATTTCAAAAAGATAAGAATAGTGAACCTTAGTTGACCGGGCTTTAATTTTGGTCATGAAATATTTGCATTTACACAACTATTAAGATCCATTAATGAACCTAATATTTGTTGAAAAAGCAAAACATATATCTAATATAAACATAACAGTAATCTTGAATATTATTGCAGTAAATACAATACGATATTGTGCAATACATCATGTACTTTATTATAATACGTAGATAAATGTTTACAACAACGTATAACAATATAATTGCAATAAAAGCATTATACTACAGAAGTTTAACTAACAGTTAATAAGTCTACATTCATTTAATAAGATCTCTGATAATTAATATTTGTCACATTATAAAGACTTATATCTGATACACTTTGGTTAGTAAGAAACAACTATCAATAATGTAATTTATTTTCCAGATATATGTTTTATTTTCAGATTCTTTAACATAGTTAAGTACTACAATATTATTACTAGCAGAGGAGGAATAGGAAAATGAATATTAGAAATACTGACGATTAGATCCAAATTCAACCGAATCAGTTCTCTCAGGGGGTTTTGCCAATTGCTCATGAATGGTATGCGGTTCTTTTACATTATCATCTTTTTTTTTAATTTGTTCTGAATTCAATCGAGCTTTCTTAGCTTCATCAAACCTTTTGAGCCATTCCTCCTACAAAATCCACAGATCAATTAGTTAATTAAATAAAAACTTTTATAACTTGGATTGTAGAAATCATTTAAGTTAATTTTACCCTGGCTTCATTATTAACACATTGAAAAAGCCTAGTATCAGGAAATACTAAAAGTTTAAAAGCATGTTTAACTTGTCCAAGATCCCTCACATTTACAACAGCCATGCTTCCCAGATCATAACTGCTTTCAAACTTATACTTAGCTTGTCCTTTCCTAAAATAAAAAACTGTGTTAAAATTAAGTAAATCATATTTACCATAATATCTTTAAACCTACTAATTACCGGTTCCATTCTACATACTTATTTATTAAAATTTAGAAGATAACATAATAATAAAGTAGCAATATAAGAACCTTTCTGATATCCAGGTAGCAATCAGAAACATATCAGAAAAGAGTAAAGCCCGGGTTCGATGAAGAGCTGTATTTTCTAGAGGATCTAGTTCCACAATGTCACCTTCGTGCAAAAGTTCCCTACCTGGAGTGTCAAGAAGATCCTAAATACATGGGAAAAAATGAAAGAAAGTCAATAAAAAATAATATTGTATAATTAATTGAAATAGTAATGATATTGGATAATGCAATGATATTTAAATGTGTACACATATTAAACATACACTTTTTATTTATTTGTTTTCTATTAATTTTTACTAACCATAGGAAAATATAAACATAAAATATTTTACAACACAGTATGTTTGAGAAACCATAGAGACTTGTGTTTGTAAAGCATGAGAGTATGTATGAGTGGTTGAGGCGGTAATGAAATTTTTTTATGCTTCTTTAAAGCACTTATAGTGCAGAATTTATGATAAAATGAAAATTAATTATCTGGTCTAATAACTGCCAAGACCAAAGTAAGAATAAAATTAATTTATTTCTTTGGATTTATTCGACAATGAATGATGCAACAATGTGACAATGCAAAAATGATGAGATAAACCATAAATTTTTCATATCCGGGCATTCATTTTTGCTATGTAACAGAGATTTCACACAGATTGAAAAACCAGAAAGGGTTGTTACATGCCATATTTAATCTTAGGGCCTAGTTAAAGTTATGGAGAATACAACATCGAAAACTCTCTGTGTAGTTACTATTTTCCAGCCTGGGTGCTTCATTGGCAGCTAATTCATAAATTGACCCTCAAATGGTAACACTTGAGATTAAAACAGTAACAGTAACACTGGGTCACTCAATACATGAGCCTAGAGTCAATCTGACCCGATGAGGATTAACAATTCTTAACTAAATATTTCCAAGTGTAATTGGATAAGAATTGAAAAAAACCTCACCTAGGATTGACAAGACAAGAAAAATTTTTAATGAAAATTTAATACTAGAAATAAAATTGTTGATATTTAGCCCATTATTGATATCCTTTCTTTATTCGTGTGTGTAAAAATCAATTTTTTCAAAATAATTTAGTTAATTTTAGAGGTCATTCCTCACTTCTTCTACTAGAGGTTATCGGAGAATGATTTGTTGCCAGTGCAGGTGTTTCGCTGTTACTCATCAATTGAATACAAAGACTTAAATGAGTGACTGCTCTGCGTTTTTTAGTCTCAACCAATCTTTATAAAATATAAGGATTTTCAGAAAATAACCGTAAGAAGAGTGTCTCTGCATGCATGTGTAGGAACTAAGAAAATTCTAAGAAATTCACTTATATTCTTGATGAAAACTTTCTAGCAACTCTTATTTCTCTAATCTATTTTTATTTTATTTATTTTTTTGGGGGAGGGATTCAGATTATTGGAGTGATTTGATTACCAAAGTTTATATAACTGAGACTTACTTTAAGGTACAAAGTTTATTAAATACAGTAAAGATAGTAAAAGAACTTAAAACATATACATACTGTACATAGATAGATTATAACATACATATGCACATATGTACCTGAAATATACAAAAATAAAATTGATTGTTAAAAAAAAAACAGATAATAACATTGACTATTTACCGGGCAGGATTCTATGATCTCCAAAACAGATGATAAAGCTGCAATTCTTTTTTCTTCTTGGGCTTTGCTTGAAGCTTGAAGAACTGGTTCAGCACCTGAATTACTCATTGAACCAAGAAGGGCACGTTGTTCTGATAATAGGTGTGATAGCTGATACATTTCCCCTTCAAGATCTAATGAATCATATTAAGGATCCATAAAAAAAACTTTATGAATGTTAAAAAACCATAAATATTGGAGTAGATTTAATTGTTCATTATCAAATTTTACAACCATAGTCACCTATACATCTACAACCGACGCCGGGGAGGAGAGATACTATCTCCCTCCTCCCCAATATTTTATGAAGGGGAGTAGCCCTTCTAATATTTTGCAATCTTTTATTTGAAATAACTCACAATAAATTTAATAAATCATTAATATTATACTACTACTTGGCCCATGCAAATAATTTACATAGTATATTGCTCAATAATCAAATGGCAATTTATATAAGTAAATTCAATGCATTATAGTTAAGCCCAAATAATAAACAAAACCATGTTTACAAAATACTATTAGCTGTATGTTTGCTAAAAATAGTCCGATTTGGATGAATTTTCTTATTTTGTAAATAATTTGGAAATCTTTGGAACCCTTTATACCATTAATTGTAGAATTTTTGAGTTATGTAATAACAAATAAAGTTTTCTTTTCATCATAATTTTTTTGGACCTCCAAAATTCAAGATTTAATGAAGAATTAACAAAGATATGCAACAAGAAATCACAATTGAGATATAACACATTGGATTCTGTTCCTTTATGTATGCAATTCTATCCCACATTTCTCTTTCAGGCATTGAACACTGATATCATGCTATACTAATATTCACCCCCTCAGTATTTCCTAAGTGCCAGTGGTTACGTTTACAACTTAAAAAATTAATACTATTTTTCACGAGCCATACCCCTAGATAATTTACAAAAATGTTTTTATTAATAAGGATATAAATTTGCCGACGTGAATATCTATTTTCAAATAATTTTAAATATAATTTATAATTACTTACTAGAAAACGTAATATTAACAGAGTATATATTAATGCACTGATTGCCATACTTAATCAATGTCTGTTTATTTTATCCTAGTTTTTTATATGTCTCAGTGAAACTACTAATAAAATTAGAAAAACAAAAAATGATAATTTTATTTGGATCCCACTTTAAAATATAGAAATCTGTATAAACCGAATATATGTGTGGAGCTTAATTCTGTAAATGAAATATCAACAGAAGTGAATAAGCGGATTAGAGCAGATAACCGGGTTTACGATGCAAACATGAAACTCTTCCGCTCATTGCTGTTACCACAAATGAAAAAAATAAGATTGTATATAACATTGGTAGGACCAGTAGTGACATATTCTGCGGGAACTTGGACCCTTTGCACCCCCACAATAAATGCATTGAAAATTTTTGAGATACAGAGTAAATTCTCTATAAAATTTATGGAACTGTATTGAAAGAGGGTGAATGGGAATCCGAAATAACAGCGAACTATATGAGCTATATGGATCTTATGAAATTGTCCACTTCATAAGGGCAAGGAGAATTGAATGGTTGAGTCATGTAGCACGGATGAATGAATCAAGAATGTAAAAAAGAATTTTGCTTGGAAAGATGTATGGTATCAGAATGAGAGGACGACCTTGGATGGAGATGTTGGATTCAGGATGTGGAAAAGGACTTGGAAAATCACAGTATAAGGAACTGGAGGAGGAGAGCGTTGTGCAGAGAGGACTGGTGCAATGTTATCAGGGAAGCCAAGGTCTACCCTGAGCGGTGGAGCTATGTGGTAAGGAAGTATATTTTATATATATATATATATATATATATATATATATATATATATATATATATATTATATACTTCCTTATATATATATTATATATATATATATATAAACTGATCTCAAGACGTGGGCATACTGTACTTATTACCCTTATATTGCACTTCCTACCATGCAGAACTGTTTCCAATAAATCATGGTGTTTGTAATCTCAATTGTAATAAACAGAAAATATATACCTATATCTGTACAGATTCAGAATCTGCCCTTAAACCTATGAGAAATTCTTTTTCAATGAACCCATTAGTCACAGACACATTTAGAAATATGAAAACATTGGAGAGTGTTGGATGTAAGATATAATTTTTCTTGTTACTGGGTTACTCAGTTATTAGAGGTAATGAGCTAGATATCATGGCAAAAAAAGCAATCTAAGAAGGCACTCCAGTAGAGGATGCTTTTTTTTTTACAAAGAAAGTAGAAACTTTGGTAAAGCGGAAGGCTCTTGAGAAATGGTAGGGTCACGGCTAACTTAAGAGCACCTAATGACAAAGGAGACACCTCCTCAGTGTCTCTGCTGTGGGGTCAATTTAACAGTCAGGCACATCTTGACTGAGTGTTATGGCTATGAAGCACAACGGAATGAAGTGGAATTGGATGATATTATTGCTGAAATTTTGAAAAACCACCAAAATAGCAAAAAAATTGTTTTTATGTCTTTAAATAACACAACTATTTAACAAATTTTAATTTTTACTATCACTTTTTTGGAAATTTTAATGTTTTAATATTTTATACTTCCAAATGTATTGTTAAATTTTATCTTGTGTAATATAAATACTGTTTAAGGGATAAAATGGCCCATAAGAGGTTGAGGAGCCCCCATTGTTATACATAAATAAATATATAAAAATAAAAAATAGAAATAATACGATTAATTAAATATGGACATTAATACCTCTTCAATTTAAATGAGAAATATTTGTATTTTTCCAAAGAAACCCTTCACAAATGTCCATAGAAGTGTTTAAGTCGAGTCTAGTCTGCATTTGATGTATATACTGGTACTGGTGAGGGACTTAGTCCGGCAAGTGGGCCTATTGGTCCTTTTTGCCAACCCCAAAAATTTGATACTACCAGTAGTTGTCTATTGTACCTCTATTCTGTCTCAAACCTTTTTGTTCTTTTTAACCTTATGAACTAATGAAGTTCAAAAGGTTAGACCATTTTATGGAGGCAGCTTTGCATACTTGGTTTCTGTCTGCTCCCAGAAGTCTGTATCTGAGTGACGCAAATCGGTCATATTCCGTTACGAAGTGAAGGGTAGTTTCAGGTGCACTTCTGCAGAGATTACAGAGTTCATCATCCACTATCCCACAGATCTTTAAATGTCTTTTAATTCTGCAGTGGCCTGTTAGTACTCTGATGATGAGTCGGATTTATTTCCTAGTTAGGCCTTCTTTCCTAGTTGATGTATATACAAATAATAAAGAAACACAGGCTCTTAAGCTCCCATAATGTATGTAATCATCCAATTGCTTCAAATAATTATTATTGTGATTATGATGTATTGTATTGTCCAAATCAGAAAGATAAAATTGTTACTTTAAATTGGCTGGTAAAATATGCTTTAATAATATCCCACTTGTCCCTGTTGAATAAATCCGATACCTTGAACTCCACTCGGACAAACGTCTAACTGGGAATCCTCATACCAGACTGAAACTACAAGAAACCGCTCCACGTTTCCGACTACTACAACACTTACTAGACAAACACTCTAAGCTTCCAGTTAATTACAAAATACTCATATACATGGCTACAATAAGACCTATTTGGACTTACGGAATTGAGCTTTGGGGCTCCACTAAGTCATCGAATTCCTCTCGTATCCAATCCTTACAATCCAAAATCCTTCAGAAAATCCTCAATGCTCCTTACTTTGTCACCAATAAAATAATCCATAACGACCTTAATGATCCTTATGTTTCCGGTTTGGTCCAATCCAGATACCAATCCTTCCATAATAAACTTCAGAACCAACGGAAACCAACCTTGCTTCCTCTTTTATTCCTGATAACCCTCCGAGGCGTCTGAAAAGAAGATGGCCTCGAGATCTCCTATTGTAAATACACTTTTTTTGGAGTGCTGCTAGAGGGTAGTTTCTCAACAAGTGATTTCATGTTATTATTTTCTGTTATCGAATTTACTAAATGTATTTTAATTATTAATACAGTTGTAAATATCATAAATTAAAAAAAAAAGCTGGAGAAGGATAGGTAGCAGGCCAATAATTGCTGTGTGAAAGGTACTAACTCATGAGTGTCACAACATAATGGATGGTCATAAGATCACATGGTGCTTCTGGCTAGCTTATGTAGTCCACAGAGTGATCATAATATCTTTTTCCTGTCCTTCGAGTAAGAACTATTTTGTGAGTAGTACTACACAAAATAAAAATAAATAATAATATAGATAAAAAATAAGAAGGATACGAGATATTTCTCTTGCAGTTTCAATGAACTGCATATAATTTTTATAAACATTTTTCTTTAAATTTTGGCTTGTTTCTTCAGCAAGAGCCTGAATTTTAGCTCTGTGGCTTTGAAGTTCAATTCCACCAACACAGACTTGAGATATTTCTTTCACATCTAAAAAAGTATTTCAGTTATAAACAAAACCTATTAAAGTAAAGATGAAAATAAATAAATTAAAATTACATTTATCAGGGTTGAAATCGACACCAGAAAATTTCTTAAGATGATCATTCATGGTGAATATTAATTAATGATTAAAAGTATCAAAGATATCAATGTCAAAATTAAATATTGGTTTATTTATAACCTGACATTTAAAGACTCCCGAACGTTACCATCGAGGTTAAAATCTGGATATGCTCATGGTATCATAAGATAGAAATGTCAACGAAATTTATCATTGGGGACTGGATTTATGGTTTATCCAAACCATGGATAATATGAACAATTAAAAGAATATGCCTGATTCGTGAAAATTTTCTTGTATGACCTCAGATAGAGCAATATTACTTGATTTCTATGTCAAGGTCTGGAGTTTTAATCCTCTCCTAAAAATGTTTTTTTCTTTTCGTCTTTTCTTAATTGAGAAATATTATATTCTGTCACATTCAAGGACAATAGTAATAGAGATATAGTAACTCATTTATACTCTGTGTGTTTTACAATAAATAAAAATGTAAAATAATAATATACTATCATAAATACTAGTATTTTAGCTAAAAGTAAATCTATATAAACAAAAAGAAACTAAACTAATAATAATAATATTATTTTATAAAATAAAAACTTAAATACACATATACATTTATACAAAATTCATTCCCTCAGGAAACCTCCGAGCCAAGCCTTTCCCCCCACTCGTGGAAGCAAAGATTGGACTCTAGTACTTCTCACTCAGCCGCACTTCTGGAATTAAGTACCAATGGAGGCTGAGCAGAGGCGCTATAACCAGAAGCTCATGGCTTGAGTGGAGAATCTGGTCATTGTCAGAATTCCAATATATGCTTATTTACAAATGATGTCTGGGCCACTACCGCTTTAACCTTTGAGTGAATTGTAAGTGTACTAACGGTAATAAATTATAAATAAATTATTTCAAAATAGCTAGTGAGTTTTACTCACTCAACATTTTATTTTACATGATATATATTAACTTATGCTTCCAATGTTACCAACAAAACATCACCTTTTTTTTTATACATTTAAACTAGTTATACATTAAACATTAAAATAGAACGTAATATTTTAAGTAATATGGTTGATTTGTTGCTTTCTTTAGTTTATTCTTGCAGTTATCAGTTGCATCTCCCTTTACGTCTTTTTTTTTTCTGATTTTGCCTGCCACTATCAAACTCATCTCTTTCTTCTTGTGTCCCCTCTGCTTTCATATAGTTTGACTGTGATTCTTCTTCCTCTTCCTGCTCAATTATTTTAAAGAAATTACTATTTCTTTTGGTTCGAGTACCCGATTCAGCCTTCGCCATCACTAATGAGCCTTTAACTTCTTCTACTTAAGGTTCAGAATTGATTCTTTAAGTCGACATCTCTACGCCTTCACACTAGATGTCCTTTTTGAAGCGATCTTGGAACTATCTTCCTTAGCTTCGTCTAATACTCCTATAGAATTTCGTTAGCGTTGGTTTAACATCGCAATGATATACATACACTGTCCGACTGAAGACCAGTGATAAATTAGAGTGGGTTTATGAAAAACTACCGTGAAGCTGCATAAAAATAATTTTATGAGACGCTAACGCAAAGATAGAAAGAGAAGAAGTTCACTTTCTGATGATCGGTAAAGAAACTTTACACGATTATACGATTATACGATATTACACGATAATGATAATGGAATTCGACTAATCAATTTTGCCATCTCGAAAAACCTAATAATTAAAAGTTCTAGGTTTAAACATAAGGATATTCAAAAATATACTTGGATATCACCGGATTCGCAAAAACAACGTAGGTGGCAAAATAGTAGAATTAAGGTAAGGTCATGTCACAGGGCAGAATGTGGACCAGATCATGAATTAGTAATCGCGAATTTTCGACAAAAATTAATACATAAAAGAGTAAAGAAAACCGTTTCGATTCCGAGAATTTTAATTTGGAAAAACTAAAAAAATCCATCAATTAGAACTCAATTCTAGCTAGAAGTTAAAAGTAGTTTTGAAGCTTTAGAACCATCTAAAGATGACTGCGATGTTATAGACAAGTTAAGGTAGGGATCGTGGATAATATTAAGAAAGTCTGTACCTTTGTCTTGGAAAAAGGAAAATAAAAATAACAAACCGTGATTTGATGAAGATTGCTTAAACATGTGCGAAAAATCGCTAAAATTAAAGCACTAAATAATACTATCGAAACCAATCTTGAATACTTCTGAATCTTAAAGAATGATACTACTAAATTGTTCAAAAATAAAAAAGTGAGTATCTAAAAAATAAAATAAAAGATATAGAAATTAAAAGAATCGAAAAAAACGTAAAAGACATGTAAAAGGGTATAGAGTATTCACATAAATCACGTAAATGTTCAGGACCTGTAACGACTGGAATTAGGGATAAAAATAATAATATCCTCACAGACCCTGTAGCCATATTGAGCAAGTTTAAGAAACACTTCGATAATATTTTAAATATGAAAAATAATCATCTCTGTCCTCCTTCTGATTACTAGAGTGCCGATCCATTAATAGAAGAACCAAGTAAAGAGGAAGTTGAAATAACTATCGGAAAATTAAAATTTTATAAAGCAGTAGGGACCGATAATATTTCTAGTGAACTAATTCAGGCATGCGGGGAAGCTGTTGTTTATAAATAACATTTTTTGGTTAAAAAGATATGGGAGAATGAGAAATTGCCTGAAGAATGGAAAGAATACCTTCTTATTCCGATTCAGAAAAAGGAAACGAGGATGGATTGTAATAACGATCGAGGTATTTCAGTCCTTTCGGTATGTTATAAAATATTATATTAATCTTAACTAATCAAATCACGAAATACGCCAAGGAATTTATCGAAGACTACCGATGTGGATTTATTCGGAACTGTTTGACAATCGATCAAATATTTTTTTACGACAAATATTAGAGAAAACATTAAAGTACAGCGGTATTATTAACCAGCTTTTCCCAGAATATTCGGGCCGAAGAATTTAGATGGTTATACATTTGTGTTATTGTCACAATCTCTGAATTATAATTAGTGTAGTAACGGGGGAAAAACAATACTACTTATATGTTAATAACAACTAAATATATGACAATAGTATGGGAATTAATTGTATAACTTCAAGCAGGGATAGCGTATGATATGCCACTTCTGCCAAACCGTATTGCCTGTATGCAAGGAAGGGAGTAAATAAATTAATAAATAGGTAACAGCAGAAATATTAAATAATTTTACATTTTTTAACTCAATGCAAGAGAAGTATAAATTGCAGTGCAAACATCTGAATATATTTTTTAAACTTTTTGGCTCCATTCAAGGACAACTCATTTAAGATTTCGAACAGATTCTGAGTCAATCAACTCATTTCTTTACTCAACATTACTTGTTTTGTTACCTACGTAATCCGTTTGTTTTAGCTTCTATAAAATACAAAGTGTTTTTTTTATTTTATTCATATCGCGTAAAATATCACATTTTCTGTGTTTTTAGTTATGATATGAAATAGTTTGCTGCATTCTCTAAAGTTGTTTTTCTAGGAATAGTATTTTTTTTAATTTAAAATTCCCCATTGTATGCAGAAATTCCAAAGTAGTAATGCATATGACGTAGCTGTCATTATCTCCGAAGGAAAACCATTCTGTGGTGGGAGAGTGGTGGCGAGAAGCTGACAGTCACAACATGATCCTCTTCTTGATAAGCGTCTTGGGGTTGGTTGCGGGGACCAGCACACATCTACTGAATTTCGAGGAAGGTGAACAAATAATATATTAATATATTTGTATAGCCGATTTATTTTTAATGCATTGAAAATACCTTCTGACATTCATAACTTGGAGCATGCTTATATCTATAACAATTTAACAAAATAAATGTAGTTCGGTTAGTTTTTGTTTTTAATATTGTAAATTGAAGGGTCAAGTTGATAAAAGTAATGTTAAATTAATTTTTTTTTAAAAAATGTTACTTTTTAGCTACCATTGATGGCAATCCAGATATCTGGAATAACTCTTATTTTAATATATGCTACAATATACGAATATTCGAACCATAAAGGCAAATGAGCAACTCTGATATTCTTTTCTGCATAACTCAAGGGTTATCTCACTTGGAAAAGAAAAAAAAATAACAGAAATAATAACAACTTGAGAGTTGTGACGATAGCCTCCGGCATAAAGAAGAAAAAAAATAGTTGTACTGTTGAAAGTTTAATTGCAAAGGTTACTTAATAATATTTAAAAGTAAAATTATTTCTTTCTTTTCAGTGTTTCCTATGCACTGTTTTGAAATATGTTAAAAATCCTTTTAATTTTTGTTTCTAAATATTAGAAACAGTATCCTCCGCACAACTCATTTTCCTCTGATGTGGAATCACACCATAATCATCCTTTTCCCTAAACCAGGTAAGAAGTATGAATGGTGTTTAAAATTTCATTATCGGTGCTGCTTAAAATTTTATTGTTATAAAAATAAAATAAATGTTTACTATTCCATAAGGACTAATTATAATTAGTAAAATGAATATTTATAATTGATAAACGATCCATTTTTACAGTGCATGTTTTTGATTATCACATATAAATATTACAGTTATATTTTGTGTTTTTAAAAAAAAATATTATTTTTATTAAAATAACGATTATTTGCAGTAATATAGGCAGTAGTTATAAATAGATACATAAAATCATGTGTTTCAAAAGATCTTTACGGTTTTCAAAGTTAATTTGCTGTCAAATTTTAAAATTCTCAGGTTTAAACAAAGAAATCTGAATTTGCCGTTTTTTTAATTTTGACGTCATATTCGCGTACCTTGGCCTTGAAAACATAAGTGTACTAAATACCAAGTTAATCCGACATCATTTACAAATCCTAAGCCCATGTCTACCAAAACCCATATTTTACTCCCATTGTGTTCAGGTACATTACACTTATTGGCAATACCTTTTTTATCATTTCTCCAACCTTCCTCATCAAAACGTACCAAAAATTCATAATTTAAAACAAAACAACAGTAACCAAAAGACAAAAAAAAAAAAAAAAATGAAAATATTTAATGAACAAACAATTTTCCATAATGTGTTTGTATAGAAATAAGAAATGGAAACTGTAAAATGACCTTAGATATTGT